CATTCATCAGTACCCATGACTTCATTCATTCATCAGTACCCATGACTCCACTCATTCATCAGTACTCATGACTCCACTCATTCATCAGTACCCAGACTCCATTCATTCATTAATACCCATGACTCCATTCATTTTACAAGTGCATGCCGAGCCATTTCCCGCAGCTGTCCGGGGTGCTGAGCCGGATGTGAACAGAGGGGATCCTGAGTTCCCTTCTTTTCTCCCTCATCCAAGACTTAGGCATTCCCTAACCCCCCAGAGGAATAAAGCTAGCCCTCTCTTGGCCACTGGGAAAGGGGGCAGAGAAATTGAGCTCAGAATAAGCCAGCTACTTAGAGTCCTGTTTTCCCTCAGTTTCACCACACTCTGACCCCCAATGTGACAAATCTAATGGCACAAGAGGCTGAAGTACCATGAAGAGCTGGGCAGTGGGTGTAAGGCATGAGCTGGAGAGGCAGGTGTGCCAGCTGCAGGGACAGCTTGTGCAGATGGGCTGATGGGGTGGGGGTTGTCGGGGCAGGCATCCCCCCAGGATGAGCTGTGTCTTCTTCAGGAACAGCATGCCCCGGCCCAGCTTCCCTAGCCAGGGTCCACCTACCCACCCACCCAAGCACACCTCGTGCATTGCTCCAGACCTGTGCCAGAGCGATCAGGAAGCACTGCAGAGGAACCAGAATCTTGCAGAGCCAGCAGCAGGAAGGGAGCACGCGCACAGGTGACGGGTGTCACACACTGTGTCACCCTTCAATGCCCAGAGCCAATCACACAGCCTGCAAGGTCAGTCTCCCCCACCCCGACCACACATACCTCACAGCCGTTTCAATCCAATTCCCAGCCCATTTTGGGGTGCTGCCCACATCTCTGCCCATTGTGCTGGGCTCTCCTACCCCACCCCCAGGAGCCCTGCAATGTCTGAGTGCCCAGAGCTCCAGGCTCAGACACCTGCATCTGCCCGGACACTCCCCAGGTGGGTGAGCTCACCCTGGGCGTTCCCGGGCTTGTCTCTCAAGGACTCTCAAAGGCATTTCCAGCCCAGTTGCCGGCCTGCCTGCCGCCCGCCCTTGGCTATACAAAAACAGCTCAAATCCAGCAGCACCAAATGAACCCTGACACCCCACATAAGCTTTCCAGGGCGTGGGTGGGGGCGTTCAGGCCAATGAAGCTTGTCTCTAATATGCCCCCTGACCTGCCTTCAGATCCCCCCAGACCTGACCCTGCCCATCTGTCCCCACTCAGGCTGGGCCTCTGCTTGTCTTGTGTCCCCCAGCTGACACAATGCTCTCCCTGCTTTGTCTCCCACCCATGATGCTTTCCTGGTGGAAACTCCCCAGTATTTCCCCACTGCCATCCTTAATAGTGAGGCCCTGGCGCACTTGATTCCAGAGTAGCATGCATGCCTGGTGTGCTGAAGGTTCAGTCCCCACAAACACTGCACACTCACACCCCAAACACAACAGTGCAAGCCCTTGCCCTGTTCCTGTCCCTCGCCGCCCCCAAGAGCCCGGCTCTGACCTCAGGACCCTCACTCCTCCCTGGATCCCAACCCCCAGGATTTCCATCTCACTGCAGATGTCCACCTCGGGAGCACCCCAAGGTGCTGTCCACCCACCACCCTATTTCCATCTCGACCTTCCCTGACAGCGCAGATCTGATCGCTGGGCGGTGCGAGCACAGGGCTCCTGACCACGGGCGGGTTCATGTGGGGACAGAGCAGGCGTGCAGATGCTCGGCACTTGGACATACACTAGAGTCTGGGCAGCGGGACTCGCTCCCGGCCACTCCAGCCTCACAGGCTCCCGGAGCGCTGCCGTGTCAGTCCTCAGAGCCACTCCTCACCCTCCCCAGGCTACATCTGGCCTCCGCTTGAACCCAGTCCTAGAACCAGGAGCAGGGGTCTCCAGCCTGGCAGGGGGGATGGGGAGTTGAGGGGGTGTCAGTGGCCCGCAGGCCTCAGGCAGCGCCTTCAGCTATGTCTACAATTTCCTCTCCCCCTTCTTTCCCTCCTCTCCAAGGCTCTGGCCAAGAAGGCCTCCCCCTCACCCCAGCCCCAGCACAGGAAGGGGGGCCCTGAAGGAGGGGCTGGCTGGGAGTCGGGGCAGGAAGAGGCCTGGGCAACCCACAAGGATCAGGACAGGGTCCACACTGGGCCCTGATGGAAATGCACCTAAGTGGTGTGGGGGTCCGTGAGGAGGGGCGGGCCCTGGGGGGGGGGGGGAGGCTGGTGGGGGAGCACAGGGACCAGCAGAGGCCCCTGGCGGGGTTCTGCAAGGCTGGCTGGGCCTGGCTGCCAGCCCAGGTCCAACACTCATTAACCCACAGCTCCGGCACTGGCCAGCTGGACATACGTCAGCTGGGGCACTGGGGGGGAGGGAGGGCGGAAGACAAGGGGGAGGCAGTCTTCCTGGGGGAGGGCACCCCTGGTGAGAGCAAGGTATAAGATGATTTAGCGACAGGCTCTAGATGGGGGACAGTGGATTCTACTCCTAACATCTTGGCAAAGCCATCCAACCTCTTTGAGACTCAGTTTTCTCACCTGTTAAGTGGGGATGCTCCCCTCATACTGAGGCGTTAGGCTAGAAAGAGACCTTTATTGCAAAGGGCACAGCGGCCGGGCCAGCTTCATCTTCCTTGTTATTGTCATCAGCGGCCCGGGGCGGTCCCTGCGCCCGGCCTCCCCAGCGGTTTCCTGTGGGAGCCGGAGCCCCGGGCCGGCTCCCCCTCCTCTCGGGCGCTCTCCGCTCCTTTCCTCTCCCCTTCCCGCCGCCCTTCCCTCCGCCCCCGCCCCGCCCCGCCCCGCCCCTTTCCTCCGAGGAAACTTTCCGCCCGCTGGTCCCGGCCCGAGTCCGGCCCGCGCTGCCGCGGCCTGGGAGCCGAGCGGGCGGGCGGGCGGACGGGGCGGGTGCGAGCCGGGGCCGGACGTCGGACGCCCCGGGGCGGGCAGCGGGAGTCGGGGCGCAGGCGGTGGTGAGTGAGCCCAGCTCCGGCTGGGGGGCCGGGCGGGCGGGAGTGGGGGTGCTCCCAGCCCCCGGGAGTGCGGAAGGCGCCCGCGTCCGGGACGCCGAAGCCGGCCTCGCCCCGGGACCCCCGGCCGGGGCGGAGCCTCCGCCGCCGGGCCGAGGGACGGCGGGGCGCACGGGGAGGACCCCCGAGTTCACTCGGCAGCCGTTCTGCACGCTGGAAGCTGGGCTTGCTCTTGCAGGAGCGAGAAAGCGGGGTCCCGCATCCGTGCCCGGCGGCAGGAGCGTAGGGATCCGGCGGGCTGACGGGGGCGCCGCCCCCACCCGACAGCAGCATGGATGCCCCACGAAGGGACATGGAGTTGCTCAGCAACAGCCTGGCGGCCTTCGCGCACATCCGCGGTGAGAGCGGGCGCCGTGGGCGGGGACCCTCCCGGGCGCTCTCGGGGCCCCGCTCCACCTCTTCCCTCCCCACCGCCTTCACTGCTGCCCCGGTGCACGCCCCCAGCCAAGCTGCCCGGTCCCCCCTCTCCCCGCCCGGCGAACCCCAGCCTCAAGTGCTTCGCCGGGGCGCCCCCGACGTTTCTCGCCCCCACGCCCGCCCGGCGCCGGGAGTGCTCCGCCCCCTGGGCCCCTCCGTGACCGCTGCCCTCTGCCCCGTAGCTAACCCCGAGAGCTTCGGCCTCTACTTCGTGCTGGGCGTCTGCTTTGGCCTCCTGCTCACCCTGTGCCTACTGGTCATCAGCATCTCGTGCGCGCCCCGCCCGCGGCCCCGGGGTCCCGCCCCGCGCCGGGACCCCCGCAGCAGCGCCCTGGAGCCGGATGACGACGAGGACGACGACGACGAGGACGACACAGTGACACGTTTGGGCCCCGACGACACGCTGCGGGGGCCCGAGCTGTCGGCCGAGCCCGACGGGCCCCTGGTCAACGTGTTCACGTCGGCGGAGGAGCTGGAGCGCGCGCAGCGGCTGGAGGAGCGGGAGCGGATCCTGCGAGAGATCTGGCGAACCGGGCAGCCCGACCTGCTGGGCACGGGCACGCTGGGGCCCGGCCCCGCCACCACCGGCACTCTGGGCCGTATGCACTATTACTGATCGCCCCGCGAGCGCTGGACACGCACGAGCGAGCGAGCGCAGGGCTGCCCGGGGCTTGGGGCCGCCCCTGCCCACGGTGCTCAGGGGCCCCATCTCCGCCGCTCCCCCGGTGCTATTGGGCAAGGCCCCCCTCCCCGGGACGTACCTTCCTCTCTACAGCCGGAACTGGGGGAGGGCAGGGACCCCATCCCGTGGGGAAAAGGACAGTTAAGAGGGGGTGACCAATGAAAGCTCCATTCTCAGTGACTCAGTCTCCCTCTGTTGCTCCATCCCCGTTTCCCCTGGAGGCTGCTGTCATGCTGGGGGGCCAGGGCTGAGGACAGCCTCCATCCACCCACCTGGTGCCCCGACTCGGGCTTGCGCTCAGGCTACATTAATGCAGCTTGGTTCCCTCGCCCGTCCCGCGCGCATTCTGGCGTTCCGTGCTCGCATCCCCAGCACCCCCGACGCGCAGTTCTGCGGATGAAGCACACAGCCCCGGGCCCCTGGCCCAGTCCCGGGCCTGTGTGCCCTTGTCGCCGTGCATACCCCGCAGGGCCGTGGCGTCGGTGGCAACCCAGGTACCTTTCTGTGGGTCCTGAGCCGACGACAGTGGGGGCAAGTGAGAGCGCTGGGTGCCCCAGCGCCGGTGTGTGTATGGGGGAACCGGGTCTCAGAACCCGGCCAGCCGCTGCGCTGCGGGCCTGGCGTCCGGAGACACCCTCCCCCACGCCACCCCCATCCGGTGGATAAAAATAGCTGCGCTCGGGCCTGGGGGACCGTAATGGGAGCCACATGTTGGCCAGATGTGCCCGGGAGAGACCGCCAGGAATGTGGGGGGCGGGGAGCGCTGGCCCGCCCCGCCCCAAGGAGGCAGGCGCAGCAATGCGCGGACACCTCGGACTTTACTTTCTTGCGTTTCCAGCAGCCGTGGACAGGGATGTGAGGGGCCCTCCCGGCCCGCCCGCTACGTCTGCGCGTCCGTCTGCTCGCCCGTGGCGCTCGGGGCGGCCGGTTTGGGCGTCCTCAGCCCCAGCTGGACCTGGTCGGGAGAGGGTATCAGGGCTCGGCCTCCATTGCCCAGCCCAGGAGGCCCTACTGGGGCGCACCCCACACACCTCCAGACTCTGGCGCGTCTCCTTCTCGCTTTTCAGCTCCTCCCAGAGGTGGCCCAGCTTCCTCCTGCCGGGAGACCAGAGGAAAGCGCTTAGACGCCCCCACTTCCTTCCCGGCCCCTCTGTGTCCTTTCCACTTACTCCATCCGCTCCCCCATCAGCTCCAGGGCCATCTTCAACGTCTTCACTTCCTCTGTGAGCTTCATGATGCTGTTGTCATATTTGCCATCTGGGGGACTCTGGGCGGCAGGGGAATGGACTGTGGAACTCTCTTGAGGGTGTGGAGCCAGCTTGACAGGATAAGTGTCATCCCCTGAGGGCGGCGCCTCTTCTTTGGAGGATCCGACTTTCAGGGTAGCCTCCGGGTGGGCAGGAGGCTGCTCTGTGGTGGGAGTGGGCAGCAGCTCGGGCGGGGGGACCCCCAGGGACTGCGTGTCAGTGGCCACGGGAGACTTGGCTTCCTCCGAAGAGGAGTCACTGGTTTGAGAGTGGCCTAGGGTCACCTCAGAGGCGCCCCCCTCCCTCCGAGGGACAGAGGCTTCTGGGTCAGGGGTCTCCGCAGGGAAGGAGCTGTCTGCGGTGAGGGACTTCTTGTCCACAGCCGGGGTCTCCTGTGGAGTGAGGGTCTTCTCTGGCGTCAGGTGCTGTCCTGGAGAGGCGTTTCTCTCTGCCGCCCGGGTCCTCTTTGGGGTGCCTCGCTTGCCCGGCACAGGGCTCTTTGTCAGAGTGGCAGCCTTGGCTGAACTGCTCTGCTCTCCCTTCTGCGGAGTGGATGCCACCTGTGTCAGCTGGGAAGGGGCCCCTGCACCGGCACCCCATCCCGCCTCACTCACCTGACCAGCAGCAACGTGGGATTTGGATCCCTTCTTATCAACGTGGTTCTGATCCCCGCTGAGGCCTAGGAGAGCAGTACCTCAGGCCCCAGCTTCCTGGCCTGAGCCGCCCCCAGCCCTGCCCCCCTGAGGTGCGCTGGACACTCACCAGTGGGGAGCTTGGTGCTCTCTCTGTCAGGTGTCCAGGATAGCCTGGAACAGAGTCCGTCAGGCCGCGGGTCCCAGGCCACGGGTCCCAGGTTGGATGCAGGAGGATTTCCTGTCCTTCCCCCATCTATTTCATGTGCGCCCCTCCCCCCACCCCGCCGCCTCGGCTCCTTACTTGGTTTTGCTGGGCCCCGGAGGAGAGGCAGCTGTCCCCATCCTTTTGACTGCAGGGAGGATGGCTCTCGGCACCATCTTTTTTTGTTTTATTGGTTTTACTTCCTTAATAGGATCTGGGAAGGGAAAGTGGGGTAGGGTGTTCAGGCCCCAATGTGCCCAATAGCCACAACCCTGGCTTGCATGGCTGAGGGCCGGGGTCACACCAGGCTCCTGCACAGAAGATCATGTGCTTTCTGGCCCCTTCACAGAGCCAACAGCAGCCCCTGGCACCACCAGTGCCGCCCAAAAACAAGCCACAAAAAGCAGGCTTAGGCTATGCTGAACTACATCCCACTACCCGGTCTTAATCCAGGCTTCCATAAATGCCAGGCCCTGCGTTCCTCGTTCTCTGCATCTTCCAGACCATGACTGGACCTTCCCGCTTCCAATCCACCTGCTTTTGGCGCCTGAGAAAGAGTACAGTGGGTAGGGTACTTGCCTTGCATGCAGCCAACCCAGGTTCGATATCCGGCACTCCATATGGTTCCCTGAGCCCTCTCATGAGTGATCTACTGACCGCAGAGCCAGGAGTGAGCCCTATGTACTGCCAGATATGGCTCAAAACCAAAAAAATAAATAAACCCAATGCACTCTTCCTTGAACTGCCTTGTTGCTCTATTTCATCTACTCTATAAGAAATCTCATCAATCTTAGATTTGCACTGTCAACAGGCCAACAACTCCTTAGTTTCATCCCTAGCCCCTTCCTCTTCCTCAAACTCATATCTGCCTGCCTCTCAATATCTCTGTGTGGCTGATGGGTATCAAACTTCCCATGTGGAGAGCTAACCCCTTGCACTTCCTGCCCTGTGTGTGGACTCCTTTCCCAGTGCTCTGTCTCACCTGTTCACTCTCCTGCTCCAAGGTCAAAATGAGGAGTCTTCCCAGGTCTAGTATCTGTCACACCTCTACACCTTCAGTCAGTTGATCTTTTTTTTTTGTTTTTAGGCCACACCCAGTGATGCACGGGGGTTACTCTTGGCTCTGCACTCAGGAATTACTCCTGGCGGTGCTCAGGGGACCAGATAGGATGCTGGGAATTGAACCCAGATTGGCCGCGTACAAGGCAAACGCCCTACCCGCTGTGCTATCACTCTAGCCCCCAGTCAGTCGATCTTTTCCACCTTCAAAACCCATCCTGAATCCAGCCACCTGTCACCTGCTTCAGCACTAAGTACCACAGAGTCTACAGCTGTGGCCACCGCCCATGCAGGCTTCGACTAGAGCAAGTGAATCTGGTGGAGAAGAAGGTGATCTGAGACTGCCACACTGAGAGGGGGGCCTCTAAGTGGACAGACACACGCAGGGACATTCACATCTATGGACTCTGACCCTAATGGTAGTCACCTATACACTGTCACACACACACGCACGCGCACACACACACACACACACACACACACACATCCCACGGCGGGTCGCAGTGGGTAGGAGCACGGAGCCAGAAGCCAACACTAGGCTTTTCTGCCTCCACGCCTCAGAAGTGGTATGAGAACTCAGGGAACTTGTGTGATCTCTCTGCACCTCAACATTTGCAAACCATCATAACCACGGACACCCTGCAGGTGGCAGTGAGGTTTGAGTGGCAGTCTGGGGGTGCTTTGGAAGAAGTCATCAGAGACAAGCACCCCTCTCTCTACTGCACTACACTTGAGGCTCGGGCAGTTGTCATGCTCATTACGAATGGAAGGCCTGTGGCACTCCAGCGTCCAGCACTTGGAGTCGGCCACAGTCAATGAAGGGGCATACATATATCCTTTTGCAGACACTCTGTTATTGCATACTTAGCAGACTGCAGCTGAGGGTAAATATAATTTGTATATGTACTGAGAAACAAACAGCAACAAAAGAGCCAATAGCAGCTTGCAACTTGACTTGCTCTAGTGTAATATTTGCTTTATTGCAGGGATCTGGAGTCAGCCGTCCAAAATCTTCAAGGCATGCCAAGTGGCAAGATCTCAGTAAACAAACTTTGAATGTCTTCTGTAATTTGGCTGATTAGGGAGCTCTAGAGAGCTTTCTGGATGGTAATGATATCTCGTGTGCAAATCTCGTGTGTGTGCACGCACACACATACATGCTCACGCATATATATATGTGGTGCCAAGTATTGAATCCAGAAAATCACATGCAAGGTATAGGCTCGACCACGGAGCTCCATCCGCAGTCCTAACTCTCGGGTACTGCTAGAAACTGCACAGAGGGACTACAGAGATAGTACAGTGGGTAGGTCGCTTGCCTTGCAAGCAGCAGACCCACGTTCGACCCCCAGCACCCAATATAGTCCCCCCAAGTGCCTCTAGGAATGATCTCTGAGCACAGAGCCAGGAGTAAGCTCTAAGCACTGCCAGGTGTGGCCCCCCAAAACAAAACAAAAAACTGCAGGGGGAACCCTAAGAAAGGAGGAAATGGACCAGAAAGGTGAGTGAGCAGCGTTACATGTGGCTACCCCTAATCTGCCTGCTTATTCCCAATGGCACTTAGTTGCATGCTTATTCTTTTTCTTTTTTTATGTGAGGGGAGCAGGGGTTGGATTCTCACCTGGCAGTGCTGAAGGGCTACTCCGACCTCCGTGCTTAGGGGTTGCTCCAAGTGGCTCTTAGAGGGACTATTTGGCAGATTTAGAAAGTAGGGAAACAAACAAATCCTGAACTTCCAGAAATAAAACAAAAAAACAGCATTCCAGGACTCAGAGAGATAGTACAGAGGATAAGGTCCTTGTCCTGCATGCAGCAGACCTGGATTTGAGGAAAGAAGGAAAGGAGGGAGGGAGGAAGGGAGGGAGGGAAGGAAGGAAGGAAGGAAGGAAGGAAGGAAGGAAGGAAGGAAGGAAGGCAGACAATATATAGGATAAACAGACGATCCAATATAACCAGGAGGTGGTAAGAGAACCAGATAACTCCAAGTGGAGTGAAACAAAGAGTGAAATGTTGAAGGCAGTGTTTAAGGACAAGGCTAGAGGCAGGCTGAGGAGGAAAACCCGTGGCCCAAAGGCAAGAAGGGGAGCGCTGGATCCAGAGGTCCAGCGCATTCTGAGGCTCTGAAGATGGGCTGGAGGATGAGGCCAGCTTGAGAAGTGTCTGAGCTTCCCCATGTTCCTCCCTCCCCAGGGCTGCCTGCCCTGCTGGCCTCACGCTGACCCACCACCTGGTACAGGTGGCCATTCCTCCTGCTGGATGGCGTGTGTTGAGGGCAGCAGCATAGCGGCTGTGCTTGAAAGGTACTCAGTTTGGATGTAACCTGGGATTTTATACTGGTTGCATAAGCGCAATACCAAAAGCACAAATAAACCAAGAAATAGGAAACAAACGGGACTTCATGCAAACTGCAGGCAGGGAAAGTTGCTCAGCAGTAGAACATTTGTCTTGTATGTAAGGAAGTCTGGGTTTGATTGCTGGCAGGAAAAAAAAATTGTGACTTTTAAATTTAAAACAATATTTTTTGCCACACCCAGCTATGCTCAGGGCTTACTTTTGTCTCTGCGTTCAGGGATCACTCCTGGCAAGCTCAGGGGAATAAGTGTAGTTCCAAGCATCTAACCTGGGTTGGCCGCATGCAAGGCAAGCACCCTACCCACTGTACTATTGCTCTGACCCCCATTTTAACTTTTAGGCATCAAGAAGACTATCATAAAAGTTAAAGAGGAGCCAAAGTGATAGCTCAAGGGGCTGGAGTACATGCTCGCCAAGCCTGAGCATCAGGGTTGATCCCAGCACACATGGTCTCCCTAGCACCACCAGGGATAGCCTTGGGGAAGTATGCTGGGGAAGAATGTCCCACAAGGAAAACTGAAAAGAGGGCTGGAACAGTAGTACAGGAGGTAGGGGCATTTGCCTTGCACATGGCCAACCCAAGTTCGAACCCTGATCCCCAGCATCCTATGTGGTCCTGAGCCCTCTAGAAGTGCTCCCTGAGTACAGAGCCATGAGTAATCCTCAAGCAGCACCAGGTGTGATCCAAAAATCAAAATGAAACCAATAAAATCCAGTAGGGGCTGGAGCGGTAGTACAGTGGGTAGGGTGTTGGCCTTGCATGCAGTCGACCTAGGTTCGATCCCCAGCATCCCATATGGTCCCCCAAGCACTGCTAATGATTCCTGAGTGCAGAGCCAGGAGTAACTCCTGAGCATCGCTGGATGTGGCCCAAAAACAAAATTTAAAAATATCTTACATGTGTTGTTAAGAATGTGCAGCATGGGGGCTGGAGCGATAGCACAGCAGGTAAGGATTTTGCCTTGCACATGGCTGACTCAGGTTCTATTCCCAGTACAGCAGATAGGGGCATTTGCCTTGCACATGGCCAACCCAACCAAGATCCCATATGGTCTCCCGAGCACTGCCAGGAGTAATTCCTGAGTGCAGAGCCAGGAGTAACCCCTGTGCATCGCCAGGTGGCCAGGTGTGACCCAAAAAAGCAAAAAAAAAAAGTGCAGCATTTGGGACCTCCAACACTACTAGTGTGACTTGACTGTAAAACGGTACATCTATTTCAATGAACTCTGACAGTCCTGACTGGAGTGATAGCACAGTGGGTGGGGCATTTGCCTTGCACGCGGCCAACAGGGCCGACCCGAGTTCGATTCCTCCGCCCCTCTCGGAGAGCACAGCAAGCTACCAAGAGTATCTCGCCTGCACGGCAAAGCCTAGCAAGCTACCCGTGACGTATTTGATATGCCAAAAACAGTAACAACAAGTCTCACAATTTGTTGTGAGATGTTACTGGTGCCCGCTCGAGCAAATCGATGAACAACGGGAGGACAGTGCTACAGTGCTGACAGTCCTTCCCAAAGTCAAACTGAGTTACACCCAGCAATTCCTTGCAAACTGAGTTACCCCATCACCTAGCAATTCCTTTCCCAGGCAGGTCCTTGAGAGAAATGGAAGCCTGTCCACTTCAAAAATCCATACGTGAAGGACCAGAGAGACAGTCCAGAGGTTAAGGCCACTTGCCTTGCATGGGGCTGCAGTATGACCCTGCCCAAATCTTGGCACCCTATACGGTTCCTGAGAACTAAGCCAGGTGTGGCCCCTGAGCACAGACCCAGGAGAGCATTGTGGTCCCTGAGCTCTGCTGGGTGTAGGGGAAAACAAAAGAAAGTCCTGGAAATTTATAGCCATACTTAGTCCCATACTAAGTTCCTCCTTCTTGGCTGCAGAGTTTCCTTCCCTTTCCCTTCCACTTTCCAATAAACCTTTCTATTTAAGAAAGAAAAAAGAAAGATAGAAAGTTTATTGGCAAAAAGTGGGAACAACTCAAAGTTTCAGCCAATGAATGGGTAATAAAAGACGGTGATTCATACAATGGGTTATTACTGGACAACAAAAGAAGTGATGGCAGACAGCTTAATCGGTGAGGCGTGTGTGCAGAAGCCTTGGGTTTGATTGCTGACACTGCTTGGTCCCCACAAGCACCACTAGGAACAAGCTCCAAGCACATAGTTGGGAGTAATCCTGAGCATAGCCAGCCCAAAAACCAAAAAGTAAACAAAATACGGCTGGAGAGATAGTACAGCAGGTAGAGAGTTTGCATGCAGCTGGCCAGGATACAATCCCAGCATCCAATTATGATCTTCTGAGCACTGCCAGAAGTGATTGATCCCTAAGTGCAGAGCCAGGAGTAACTCCTGAGCATCGCTGGGTGTGGCCACTGTGTGGCCACTCCCTCACACACACACACACACAAAAAAGCAAACAAAAAACACACAGATGATGAAGTGGATGCCAAGCTCACAGACTGTGCGGTATCAGGTGTCAAAACACTAAGCCTGGCCATGGTTCATGAGACTGGTGAGGGAACGCAGGGAGACTGTGCAGGAAGAGTGGCGAAGCACTACAGGTTTTGGAAAAAGTTCTAAAGTTGATCATGGTATGCTTCAGAGCTCTGTGAGTGAACTCATCACCACAAAATCCTGCACTGTAAATGCCTGCATTGCACGGCAGAAGAATTAGATCTCAATAACAAGACTGGGGCGAGGGGTGGGATGGGAAAGGACCGCAGCCAACTTCAGCCACAGACCATCATCTGCTAACACCTGGTCTAACCACCCTCTTTAAAAGCAGAGACTGAGCCAGAAAGATAGTATAGTGGCTGCAGTGCTTGCTTTGCCTGTGATCAATCTGGGTTCCATCCCCAGCACCTCTATGGTACCCTGAGCACTGTCAGGAGTGACCCCTGAGTGCAGAGCAAGATGTAACCCTAAACATTGCAAGATATGGCCCAAACTCCCCAATAAATAAATAAATAAATAAAAGACAGAGATTACTAGACTCAATAAAAACAGTAACCTCCAACAGAGTTCATAGAAAAGATACATCATATGAGTAAGCACAGGAGAATGGATATATTACTGTAACATCATACAAAACAAACTCATAACACAGCAGCAGGGCGCTGAGAAGACAGTGAGGCTGAGCTTGATTCCTGGCCCTATGCCACATGCCAAGGTGTGACCCCGAGGGGATCTGCTGATTGAGATCTTTGGCACCACTAAAAAGTGTGTATGATCCCTAGGCAATGACAGAACTGGAAGGAGAAGTTGGAATCGAACTGAAACAGGAATTGAAATAGAAATTGCCTAATTCAACCACAAATTAGTGAAAGATTTGTTCAGGAGAAAGGTTAAGACTGTGAATCTAAAACAAGTTTACCTGGCAAATTTCAAGAGCAACCATTAAAATTACAAAAGTTTGTGTACAAAAATCACAGCTAAAAAGCAAAATAAGAAGGCCAGAAAGGGAGTATAGGCGTTAAGGTGCTTGCCGTGCACGCCGGTGACCTGGGCTATATTCCCTGCTCCAAGGAAACACATTCCCCACCAGCACCACCCGGATCTGGGCACACACCTCAAAATGTGAGCGAGCACTGCCACCCCTGGTCATCACAGAAACAACAACAAAGGGATGAGAAGTGGGGCAACCTTTAAGAGTCAAGAAAGTGGGTCCCTTTGGGGTAAAAAAGTGACAGGACACACAAGAGCGGCACACAGAGTGTGGGTTTCGATGAAAGACCATGGGTGTTCAGTGGTGAGTTTCAAAGCAGAGCATACTGTCGCATCTATTTTTTCCATATGCAGATTATTATCTTAAAACATAAATAAGGGCTGACACACAGCTCAGTGGGCTGAGTATAATATGCTTTACATGCAGGAGGCCTAGGCTGGATCTCTGGCACTGCCCGCCAAGCAGAGCTGGTCGGGGCACCCCTGAACTCTGCGGGGTGTAGTCCCCACCCCTGCCACCTTCCCCCTGCAGGAGGGGTGGAAAAAGAAAAAAGACAATCCACAAGCAAAAAGACACTTTCCCTGCAGACACATCCAGAGAACTTATCGCTGACACGGCACAGGTGGGCAGACGCCAGGGGCCGGAACCTGAGCATCATGTGAGTGAAACAAGTCTCACACTGCAGGCCACAAGCACAGAAACGAGCAGGTTCCCCAACCTGGTGCCACATTCCCGGACCCCCACAGACATTCCTCCCAGGTGCTTCCCCGTGGGAGGAAGCTGCTAAGGGGCTATACTGGACCTGAGCTGTGGGGGTTTAGGGCCCACCGGGTAGCACCCCCACTCCAAGGTTTTTCAGTCACCCACCTGAGTCCCGTGGGAGTTGCCGTGGGGTCAGCTTCTTGATCTAGGCAGAAAGAAGTATCAGAAGCGGAAGAAGTGCCCCTAAGTTTCATTTCCAGGCCACCCTTACTTAAGGTGTCACCTTCTGTCTGGGAACACCCTGACCCTCACTTCCTCTAGACGACTGGGCAGCCCCCACCCCCACCCCTGGCAGGCCCCATACGCACCGGGGGTGTCGACAGAACGAAGTTGTCGGGGAAAAGGCCCCTCCTGCCTTGAGACTCCCCTTCCCACCAGCCTTTGTCCTCCGTGGTCTGTGAGGGAATGGGCAGGGTGTGGAGGTGAGCCCTGCCTGATCTGCAGCCTCCCTCCTCCGCATCCCTCCTCCCTGCCCTGCGCCCTCACACCTTCCTCAGTACTTTCACAACGTCCCCCTTCTGCAGCGCCAGCTCGTCTGGGGCCTCAGGCTGGTAGTCAAACAGGACCCTGTAGGTCTCAGGGTGGCAGGCTAAGGGGAGGTCAGTGGCCAGAAGCCAAACCTCCCCCCCCAAATCAATCAGTGGCCCCCTCCTCCCTAGTAGCTGAGCTGGGTCCCCCTGACCCCAAGTCAGCAAGACTTGAGGAAGTTCCAAGGGACCCTTAAGACCAGGAGCTCACCTGTCCGCAGGTAGTCGGGAGGACTGTCCTGCATCAGGCTGCACAGCTGCAGCGGGGAAAAGGGGACAATTGGTATCTCTGCACTCCCTGCCCCTGCTCCCTGGAGGAGCACCCCACCTCAGGAAGATGCCCACCGCCCAGTTCCCACACTTTACCTTGGGAGGCTGCTCTAAGCCAGAGATGATGGAAGGCATGTCTGCGTTACCAAGGCCTGGTGGGAGGACACGAGGTTAGGGGGTGCTGATACAAAATGTACAGCATGGGGGAGGGGACATGGAGCTGGCAGTGGGTGACCGGTTTGCGGAATCCCAGGGTGCAGGTCTCACTTGGGGGCCCACTGTCCAGCAACTCCACAAAGTTGGATGGCAAGGCTCCCAGCTGCCCGTTCTTCTTCCCCAGCCACCAGCCGTCCTCAATCTGGGGGGGAGGGAGGGAGCACGGAGGGGCATCTGCTTCTGCCCAAGGGGTCTTCTATAGAAATCTTACACCCTCAAGTGCGCCCCATTCTGCCCGACCACCTCGTCCTCCTCGCCTGTGCCCTCCCTTCCCCATCGCCCACACCCTCCAGTCAGTGCTCCATTCTTTTCCCTCATCTCCCCGCCCCTCACCTCCTTTATAACTTCCACTATCTCCCCAGCTTGCAGTTCTAGCTCGTCTGTCTGCTCCGGGATGTAGTTGTAGTTCACTTTGCACCATCTTTGGGGACCCCAAGATTTGGCGAGGTGACCTAGGTGGAACAGGGAAACTCTGGACAGCTTGAACTAGGAGCCCCGGTGCAGGGAGGGGGGAGCTGGGTTGGTGGGAGAGTGGGCCAAGAGCCCTTTTAAGTACTCAGGCCACGCCCTAGGGCGGAGCATTGTACTCAAGAGCCAATCAGAGACGGCAAAGCGGCCTGGCGGCCCCGCCCAGAGCGGCGCTGGCCGCGGCGAGCTGGGGCTGGCCCGGGCCCCGCAGGCGTCGCTGGCCGGCCAGGCCGCCTGGGCGCTTACCTCGGCGGCGCGGACAGCGCGGTCTCCGCGCCTCCCCGGTACCGCGCAGACTTTCCGGGATCTCCTGGGAATAGAGTCGGGGCGGAGGCCTCAGTGCCCCGGCGGCGCGCCCCGAGCCCCGCGCGCCCCCTGCCCGACCCACCGGGCCTCACCAGCACCAGGCGCTCGGGGAAGAGGCCGCTGTGGCCGCCCAGCTCTCCGCGCAGCCAGCCCCGGGCGGGCCCCGGGCACACCTGCCCGACCACGTCCCCGGGCGCCAGGCTCAGCTCGCCCTCCTTCTGCGCGCGGTATCCGGCCAGGACCAGCACCTCTGCGGGCGGACGGGACCGGTTCGGGCTCAGAGCGGAGCACGAGGCGGGGAACTTGCATCGGCGCTTCCCCAAGCACCCCGATGAGCCGCCCCAAACCCTCTGCACATACCCATGGCGTCCGGGGCCCCCTTCCTGAGCCGGGTGGTGGGACAGTGCGGGTCCACTGGCAGCGGAGCACTGGCCCGCGGTGGGGTGGGACGAGCCGCGGGTGAGGCGAGGGAGGCGGAGACGCGAGCCGATAGGTCAGGCTCCCGGTGCAGCGCTGGGTGTGGGAGGGGGCAGCCCGGCTTGGCGGACTCGGCCCCCCACTCGAGGGAGGCTCGCTGGGGGTCTCCGGTCACTGCCGGTCACAGCTCCGACATGCTCCTCCAGGCCTAGTCACAAATTCCAGTCTAGCCGCTTCCCCGGGCCCCCGCCCACCCTGCACTCCGCGCTTCCGCAGCCAGTGAGCGTTTAGCTACAGGGGAAAAGGTGGGGAGCGGCACATACCTGGGCAAGGGGCCCAGGGGGGACAGCAGGCCGCAACCGCTCTAAGGCGGGGCCCTGGTGGAGGGTGCGGCTGCTCGTGTACAAAGCTGTTGCTCCTCAGCTCCCTGCCACCAGGGAAACGGTGAAGGACCCCTGCTCCCCGCTGGCTTCAGAAAGCACTCCCGGGATACTTGGAGACAGGCAGGCACGCAACCTGTTTTTCTATTTTCAGTGCTCATGGCACACAGCTAGAGTGGCGAGGGGCTGAAAGGTCCCACCTGGATCCAGTGCCAAGTGAGGTTAAGGAGGAATGCAGAGGGCTGAGCCTGCCATCCATACCCTGCCCCCATGACCTTCGAAGCCCTTGCTTGTGGCAGCACAGGGAGCAAAAGGACTGCCCGCTCCACGGGTGTACTAGCAGATGAGGCAGAACCATGAACATGACTGAAGTGTTCAGAATGGCAGGACTGGCTGCCCCTGGGTGGCGGTGCTGGTGGAGGGGCTGTGGCACACGGGTGGATGGTTTGTCTTTTGGGTTGTCCAAGTTACTATGGGAAGAGCGCGCGCACACACACACACAATGACACTCCCCCAGTGTGACAATGACCACAGCACTTTTACATCTGCCACTTCATTTTTATTTTTATTTGCAGGAGGAGTTGAAACAAATTTTAAGTGTTTTCATTTTTTTTCCCCTAAACATGAATCATTCAAGTAAACCAAGTTTTAACTATAGAAATGTAGCAAAGGAAGGAGAAGTAGCGTAACAACCCAATAGGCAAAGGTTGGGGGGGAAAGAAGGGTGCAAACTGCATAGAATATATGCAAGAATGCTTTATGATTCGCCTGCTCAGGACTGCCTCCCCGGAAGGCAAGCACAAGGACCCATTTGAAGAGGATGCCCCCCACCCCAACATCTGAGAGAATGTTTCAACTTAAAGCTCAAGGTTTGGAAAAAAAAAAAACACACCAAAAAAACCCAAAAACAAAACCAAAAACACCAAAGGGAAAAAAACCCAAACACACCCCCCAAAAAAACCCAAAACCCACTAACCACCCAGCTATAACCACCTTCCTTAATCGAGCATAGGAGTTTTTCATTTTATAAAAAGATTAATAAAAAATATTGAAAAAATTATTTTCTCATCTTATATTTGTAAAGATAATAGAATTCAGAAGTTTCTTAGAAAACAGACCAGGAACTGCCACCCAGTTTCTACTCCTGTTGAGCTGAAGATCAGCAGGGCTAGAAAGTTGGGATGCTGGAGCTGCTGGTGGAAAAGGGGAAGAAGCCCAGCCCAGAAGAAATCAGAAAATATCGGGGGGTGGGGAGCACGTGGGATGTGTTTAGGAGCGTCGCCATATGTGATAGATACATGGCCGGACAGCAAAGGGGATGATGCACAGAAAGGCCTTAAACTCCTCCTCAACATACAAAACCGATTTTTTAACAAAGATCCAAGCAGTTTGGTCCCAAACTGAGGCGAACACTTCAATGTTTATTCACATGCTGTTTTCTCTTTATAGAATCAAAGTTGTCCAAATTAACTCTGCTAATGTTACTACATATGCCTAAAAAAGGGGGAGGAGCTTTGAAAATCAGGGGAAAAAAAAAGAATGAAAATCATCATATTAGTCTTCTTAGCTCCAAATGAAATGAAATTAAGAACGAAACTGTTGGTTTCTAATAGGGAACAAACCAAAATCCAAGTATCATTCTCCCCTACCCCAGCCCAGCCCACAGTCCACACACCAACAATGAAGGAGAAAAACAACTAAAGCCCAATGTGTTGTCTTCTGCTCAGAGCTGGGCCTGACCCTAGCTCCACAGCCGGCTGCCTCGGTCGAGGGGACACGGTGGCAGGCCGCTTTCAGCTCTAGTGGGACTCTGCACGGCAGGCGGGGGTAGGGGTAAGGTGTTCACACAGTCTCCTTGGGGCTCCTCTGTTTAGCTCTTCACCAGCCATCTTCCCAGCGCCTCTCCCCTGGCAGGGGCTCCCGTGAGACTGGCCCTTACTCGGTCGTGGGCTGCAAATTGTCTTTCTCTTCACGGTTCTCTGTCCCACTCTCGTCATCTTCAATCTCCCCCTCCTCCCCACTGAACTTGTCGTGGGCCCATTTGGGGCTGGTGCTGGATTTCCGGAACATGAACCGACCCCGGCCCCGGGGAAAGGCTCCTCGGCCACGGCCTCGGCTCACCCACTTCTCATTGCCTTCACCTTCACGGTCATCATGCTGAGGGGGAAAGAAAACTGCCATCAATGCCAGCGCGTAGTAACAAGGACCTGATGGCCACACAAATGGGCCTTCCTTTCCCTATGTCTTGGCCGAGCATTTTGTTCCTTTCTGTCCTCCTTCCTCTCTAAGGCTACTCCAAAAATATAGATTCATTTTCAAACCAATACTCAACTGCCAAGGAATTCTAAGACAGTGACCTGGGCATCATAATAGCAAAAATGATGGAAATGAGAAAAACTTTTTATTGAACCAGTGCAAGGCTTTTAAACTTAATAAATGAAAATTCTAATTTAATCTCCCCTCCCCTACGTAAACGAGAAAACTAGCTTACGAACAGCAAGCAACTTCCTATTTATTTAAACCATCTCTCAAGAATAGATTTGAGGGGCTGGAGCAATAGCACAGCCTTGCATGCGGCCTACCTGGGTTCGATTCCCAGCATCCCTTATGGTCACCCAAGCACTGCCAGGAGTAACCCCTGAGCATCGCTGGGTGTGACCCAAAAAACAAAAAACAAAAAACAAAAAAAAAAAAAAAAAAAAAAAAAAGGGAAAAGTATAGATTTGAAAAAATCATACCAAAACATGAAATGACAGACATGTGTCCTGGTTGTCAGGCAGCTCACAGAGGAAGCAACATCTGAAACACAGATCTGGGGCTGGAGGTCTTCCAAACTCTCCCCACACCAAGTTAATAACAGGCAGTATGGGCAAGAGCAGAAAACCAACTCTCAGGGCTCAGTGACAGTACAGTGGGTGGCGTTGGCCTTGCACACAGATGACCCAGGTTCTATCCACAGCACCCCATATGATCCCACTAGGAGTAATCCTTGAGCACAGTCAGGCATGGCCACAGAACAAAATAAAATTCCACAGAAAAACAAAGGTGGTTGTGTAGTTATCCACACAAAAACATGTTTCCTAGCTGTGCAACTGACAATACAGACCAACAGTAGCCCTTCTGATGGGCGATGGCTATTCTGCATTTACCTTAGTCATGACACTATAACCATTTGAACCTGATGCTACTCTGACATAGCAAGACCAAGAAGGCTCACTCAGGCCAGTAACGCATCCAGAAAACCCAAAACAGAAGCACAGAAGGTGCCAGGTACCTAGAAACAGCTTAGAGCAGAGGTTCCCAAACCTCTCTCTACAGGGGAAAAAAAATTTTTTTACCCAGTTCCCCTCAACTGTATCTGAGGCCACTATTGCCACCCCCAGATCATGGGGCACCCACGGAAGGTGGGTGAGCACTCTGGGAAACAGTGGCCTAGATGAAAGAACTCAGTGTTCAAAGTTGTCTTTCCTGTCTTTCACAGAAGGGCAGAGCTGTGCTCTAAGGGGAAGGTGATGGCTCAATCCCTGGGTAAATGCTGGAGGGAGCAGTGGGCATGAAGTAAGCTCACAGAATGGAAAAAAAAAGTGCTCATTCTGGAATACAAAAACATCTTAGATGATAAACCCTTTCAAGGTGAGGGCTGCCGCCCAGAGTGCCATTCTTCCAGCACTATGCTGTCTAGGTATTGCATCATGGTTTCAGACAGATCAAAGTCTCGGTATCTGGTATTGTTTGGGCCAAAGGCCGTCTAGCAACTCCTAGTTATACCCAAACACATACCAAGTAATACTTCTTGCTTTTGGGTGTGTACTCAGGGTCCCACTCCTCTTCCCGGTTTCTCTTCTGAAAATCATTGTTGGTGGTGTTGTTATTGTTACCAGAGTAGTTGCCTCTGCCCCAGCCTCTTCCTCTGGCTCGAAATTGCTATGGCAATGGAGAGAGAGGGAAAAAGAACAAAGGATGGTCAGGAAAGCAGAAAAACAACTCTGCATCGCTCACCTTTCAGGCATGGAACAGTTACACTCTAGTCACAGGCTGATGAACTGTTTCAGCCACTTCCTTTCTGCTTATGTCATCTCAATTCTACAGCCTAGATACACAGCCTTATATATAGGTCAAGGTAAATGGGGGAACTTCTGAGACCAGAAACCGTAAGAAACTAGCTAAGTGACTCACAAAGAGAAATGAAAAGAAAAAGCCTGGGGAATGGGAGTCAAAGTTGGGTGGGGGGAGGTGCAAGGCTGGATTATTTGTAGAGTCAATAGGAGTGATAAAAACTTAACTCTTTTAAGTACATCATTAAATGCAACTGGGGGTTAGAAAGAAGGGGAGGGGCAGGGTCTTACAAAGGTCCCTCGTGCTCTGCCTCCTCGTTCACTTGGACCCACAAAGTCTTTGGTCCCCAGTCTTGATTTGTCAAAGCCCGTGGTGCTCTCCTCCCTCTCCTCAGTCTCTTCAGTGTACTCCTCCGCTTTGTAAGAGTGGGATGACTGGGAGGAAGATGATGAGGACCTGGACCGGTCCCGTGTTCTCCGGTGCTTCCTATGAAAAAAGCAGAACCAGGGCGACCAGTGAGGCCCTAAGAAGAACCCCTCGGGGATAAAAAGCACAGGGCGATCTGGAGTGCACCTCTGCTGAAGACATTACCAACAAGGCATCTGGGGACACCCAAACAGGACCATTGAGATGGCGTGATGGGCTGAGCGTGTGTTTTGTCTGCTGTAGGCCTAGGTTCAATCCTAGCGACTACATGGTCCCAAGCACAGCCAGGAGGGATTCCCCAAGCATAGACCTGGGTGAGCTCCTAAGTAAGGGTGGCTCAATTCCCTCAATGCAAACAAACAAAATATCCACATTACCCACCCAGGATACTGGCAGTTTCATTTCCCAACTGTCAGTTGTGTTCAATGCCACCTACACCTGAGACTGTAATGAGCATGGTGCACACACACCAGGAGGAAAACAAACACTATGGAAAGTCTCTGCATTCAGTAGGATGCACAAGTAACAGAATTACCTTCTGTTTGCAACTTGTATTATTTTCACTTTGCAGAGAATCAACACTGTGTGTCTGGTGGGTATGCTAAAACTATTAACACAGTTAAATGCTTTACAAAACCTATTGGGAAAGCAGTAAATGGCAAGCAGACTTAGTTGGTACTATTTCCATCTTACAGATAAAAGACTCACGCGACAACGTGGACTACCTAGATTCAAACTTGATTACGCCACTATTCCCACTACTTCACATACCACCTCCCACTGAGCTCAAATACCTGGTGTTCCTAAGCGCAGGATTGGGGGCGACTCTTCCTTGTTATTTCCCTCCATCCTTTCACCTGGAGGAAATTACAGACTAGGCCAAACTACCTTAATTAATATGATGAGTCACCGTCTGTTCTAGAGGTCATGTGGTAGAGGAGGTGTTACCAGCTGCCGCTAAGGTAACACACTCTCAGGATCCCAGGGGTGGAGGATTTGGAGCTTACAGGGGGGAAGTTAGCCAACCATCAGTCTGCATCAGCATCCTCCATCCCCTTTGGTCCTCTCCTTCCCTATGGATCAATATCTGCCATCCTCCGACTTCCCCCAAGCATTCATTAAGCCCAACAACTTAAATGTTTGAGCAGGGCTGGAGAGGGAAACAGGGCTTAAGGTGTGGCACTTGCCTTGTAGGCAGCCAATCCAGCTCAACCCCCAGCCCACCTACGACCTCCTGAGCACCAGCAAAAGTGACCCCCAAAACCAAAGAAGGACAACAAACTTGAACATTTGAATCTTCCCAGCATCTACTCTGAGTAAGGAGAAATACCAAGTCATTGTCGCAAGATTTTGTTTTGGTTCGGTGGTGCTCAAGGGTTACTCCTAATGGGGTTTGGAGAACCACATGAAATGCTGAGAATAGAACCCACGTGGGCAGCAGGCAAAAACAAGCACCATACTCGCTTTATGATTTCTAGCCTCTATGTCGTAAGATCCTTAAAGGAAAACATATAACTCAGTGCAATTTCAGGGTCCCCCATTGTCCATCCACTATTCCTCAGCCCCAGTAACCTCCTCACACATCCAAAGCACGTGTTCTGTTGAGCCACACCCACAGCCCTATTTTCAAAATGTTTTGAAAATAAGACTGGGCCCAGGAGAATGGATCACAGGGCTGGAACACATGCTCTGGATGCATGAGGCCTTGAGGCTGTTTTTGTCTTGGAGTCATAGCCACCAGCAGTGCTGGGGCTTGAACCCAAGTTGGCTGCATGCAAGTTAAATGCCCTATCCACTGTACTATCACTCTGGCCCCTAAGTACTGCACCAGGCCTGCGAAACACTGGACACTCACGTTTGCTCCAGGGCCTCCCCCATTGCTGAGAAGCCTGCCCAACACCCTCCAAAAGTCCCAGATTTCCACAAAGGTACTCCTAACCCACAATCATTTTTCAGCCATACGAAGTTGAGAGTAGCCCCAAGCACTAAAAACAGAAGGTCTTGTAAACTATGATATATGAATGGTGATAAATATAATTATACTATATATGTATTACATTTTCTTAGACTTGCTGTAGATATTTTAATTACATTGTGTGTACAACGTGTGTGCAGGTATTGATTAATTTCCTCTAGGGAAAGAAATCCCGATTAGCTATCTGAATTTAATTGAAATGCTGAGGGGTCCATTGCCTTCCTAATAAGAGTTCTAATGATCGTGTAACTAACATCACTCCTACTCCCTGGTGAGGGTAGGTCATCTAGGCCTTTACCCAGAGGTGGCTCTGAAGTGTTGGGGCTCCTAACACACAGTGACACTGTGGAAAGGAAGACCGAAGGGGAACCCAAGATCTGAGCTGGGTTTATTTAGGTTGTTTTTGTTTGAGCATTTTTACACGTCCACATCCAGCGATGCTCAGGGGTTATTCCTGGCTCTGTGCTCAGGGAATCATAACGGATGCCAGGGATTGAACCCAGGTGTCAGCTGCATGCAAGACAAACACCCTACCCCGCTGTACTAGTTGGCCCCCAGTAAGATCTGATTTTGATGTCACAGTCTTAAAAACTGTTCTGAGCTTATCTTTCAAATAGGCTAATCAGGTATCACATCAACTGTCTCAGAGAAATGTTACCAGAAAATTAAAGGGGTGGGGGGAGGGCCCTGGAGAGAGAGTGTATAGGAGTGAAGCATTTCACCCGGCACACAGAGACTGCATGCATATAGCTCCCTGAACTCCCACCAGGAGTAACCCCCGGTCAGTCAGGTGTGATCCCAAAAAAGAAAATCAAATTAACACGAAAATGCTTGCCAGCTGAGATTCAGAAAAAGCATCATGAAAGAAGCCTAAGAATGAAATGGTGCCACATTCAAATGAGACATAATTGAAAGTCACGGAAATTTAGAAAATGTAAACAGAAACAAGGAGAACCTTGGCAAGAGCGCTGCCCTTCATAACTTAACAATGCTACCTGTGTTTAAGAACATCTGGAACACCAAGTAGTATCTGTAGAACGAGTTTAAAAGGCATTTAAGATCAACAATCTTTTCCTATCTGGTTCCACCCCATTTCTCTGACTAAAAAGTGTTATTACTGACAAAACCTGAGCCATTTCTAAGACAAAATCTCCAATAAAGATGGTGTGTGTGTGTGTGTGTGTGGGGGGGGGGGGGTGAGAAATGTCCGAAATAAAAGAAATTCCTAAACAATTCTCCATTACTGTCCCTGTAGCAAATTACCAGCCCATTTCCCAGGAGGCTGTGGACAAGGTTCACATGTGCTTTGGCGTAAAACTTCTGTTTGAGGAATTCTGCCTGAAATCAGGTTGTATAGAAGAAACTGAAAGCTGCTTTCAACCCTACTCCCCCACCCCCAAAATTCTTTGGAAGGTTTGGTAAATAGAAAGCAGACAAGGGACTCCACTCAGGAGCCTGAATGTGGTCACATGCAGACGTCTACTTACTTCTGCTTCTTTGATCCTTTATGAGTTTTCTCCGTTTTCTCAGCTGATCTTTCCCTCGAGTGGCTTGAGTCTCGGGAATCCACTGATTCTCTTGATTTACCTCTTTTAAGATCTCTCTCCTTATGTTTTTTACGACGTTCAATATCAAGGCGGAGATCAACAGGGTCATCTTTATATTTTCCCTCAGCCTGCCAAGAGAAATCAAAATGAAGGTTTTTGGGATTCCAGGTTGTCGACTCAACCATCCCATAAACTGTGGTTTCTACTCCAATGGAGTGGTGCAGAGAAGAACTGAGAATTGAGGTACCTCACCCAAGCTTGGGAGGAGGGATGATATAGGCTGTCCCACTGAAGTCAGGATCCCTCACAGAATCCAATCAAAAGTTCTCTTAACATAATGAAGACGGTCCCTTCAGAAAAGGCTTTATTCTGATCTTGCTTTCTGCCTTCCTTTGTGACCCAGGAAGACTGGCTAGCTTACACAGGGAGGAACCAATCAGCCCTAGAGAATAGTGGGACAGGCTGGCCCAGGGTTTGGCCACCAGGGCTGAAAGTGCTTCTCCTACCTAAGCTTTCAGTCACACTGGGTTTTCCTTTCCAGGGATTATCTGTAAGTACTGACTCCTTCCAGACAAAACAGAAAACCTAACGCAACTTTTAAAAATGCTTAGTTATAAGAAGTTATAATTTCTCTAGCGAGGAATTACTTTTTAAAAGCAGCATAGACTATTTATAGAGTAATACAAAAATTTTACTTTCTGTTTTCTGGGTGCCACACCTGGTAGTGCTCAGGTTTTACTCCTGGCTCTGTGCTCAGGAATCACTCCTGGCAGAGCTCAGGGGACCACATGTAACGCTGGGGATCAAACCCGGGTTGGCTATGTGCAAGGCAAGCATCCTACCAACTGTACTATTATTCTGGCCCAGCAATACAATTTTTAAAAGGAAAAAAAAAAAAAGAAAACACAATCTATTTAACTTCCTAAGCATTATGAAGGTCTGTATGCTTCAGCTAAGGATAAGTAAGCCACTGCAATGGCCTCCCACCTGTCAGCCATAGCGAGCGAGGGCCCTTAGGGATCTCAGAGCAGAGGTGCAACAAAGCGGTACACCTTGGCAAATCATACACCAGGACTTGTCTCATGACAGGAGAACCTCCCTAATAGCATAAGGAATGAGCAGTTCACCGTGCAGTCACACTTCATGTAAATAAACTAAGTTTTTATTTCAATGATTTAATTATAATAGGAATTGTATTAAGTACATTTATTTTTATTATTCTCTTGAGAGGGAATGAAGGCTTTGTATCCCCAAAGGAAAAAAAAAGAAAAGAAAAACGCAGTCACTGCTCCCTTCGGCAGTGCTGCCAGCAGGGAAGACAACTTGCCTGATGTTTTATGGTAAGCACCAAGCTGGTGGGTACTTAGGAGAAGGGGTGTGGGGTAGGGAGCGGACTGTCTAGGAGTGTCTTTCATCAAATTCAACCAACTTGTTTGAAACGTGAAAATATTTTTAGAAAAGTTTTTGGCTGCACTGAAAAGTCACCTCTGATTTCAAATTTCAACTAGTTTTATGTGAGTGAAAGTCAATAAATACTGAGATTAAAAAAAAATCTAGTATTTCATTGTAAAAGACTGCACACAAGTTTTAACTTTGTAATAACAGTGTTTACGTGCACATCATTGCAAATGTAGCTTGGCGACCAAAGTAATAACTAATTTTAAAGTAACAGAAACCAACAGATGATATATATGGTACAATGTTAGGAAAAAAAAAAACCAAACCTGGACTAGCTGTTAAATAGTCTACTAAGTTAAAATATGAATAGCTCTCTCTCCTCTGACATGCATGTCTTTTTGAAATCATGGTTGGAAATAGTGCATGTATATAGTTGATTTGATAATACTTACAAGCAGAAAAATATCACAAAAAGTTTCTTCTCTCATCATGGGCACTTGTTCCAAAACTCCTCTCTTTTTTTTCTCAAGCTCACCTCAATAGACTTTGGGGTCATTTTACCATATTCTAACCACTTCACAAAGGTTGTTGATACATTTAATAAAAATTAACCCTTTGTAGTTCATTTTTAGAATTATGCCCATCCTTAAAAGAAAAACACAAACTTAAGTAGAGAGTAATTTAAACAAACACATTTCTGTCAAGTTCATGCCCAACGCACTCATTTTGTTGGAATTACTGATTAAAGCAACAGTTCACCTTGTAGCCAGGTTCCCGAGGGCTTTTCATTTCGTCATGAGTCAAACCATGTTTCCTGAATGTACTGGGGGAAATGTCTATCCTCCTAAAATTGAAAACACAGAAACAACTTAATATTCTACAGCGTGAATACAGCCCTGGTAAATTCTGGGTAATAAAATCATAGATGTTTCTTCCCAGAAGTTTCACAGTTAGCATATATATACATACATGTATCACTAATACTCTTTGCTCAGATACCTGTATTTTCCCATAAACGTACATTTGATGATGACACAAATTTCCAGATTTTTTCTTTTGGCTTTTGGGGTCACACCTGGTGATGCTCAGGGGTTACTGGCTCTTCGAACATGGGTTGGTCACGTGCAAGGCTAACATCCTACCCACTGTACTACTGCTCCGGCCCCAATTCCCCGTCTTATAAGATTGTTTCAACACCTACCCCTTCACCATTGTACATTTCCCACCACCAATGTCCCCAGTTTCCCCTCCTGCCTGCATCTGTGGCAGGCCTCCCTCACTTCCCTTCCTCCCCACGCCCGGAATTCCCAGATTTTTAGAAACTTTTTAACAGAAGAAACTCCCTCCCAGTATTGCTATGGCCAGAAGATAGACTCATGACAGTCATGTCTATAATCTCAAAATCCTATCAAGACCTTTTATGTCCTGCTAACCCAAATATCATCTTTATCTGGCCCATTATAATGGCCCATTTATTAAACAGGTGAGAAACAACTGTCTGGCGTATACACATATCCCACAAAAGGCCCAAATTCAAAGACTGTCGTACCAACACGGTTCCCATGCCTACCGCCAAAGGTTCAAGAGTAGTCTATCAAGGGATTTCAGATTAACTATTTCTAGACATAGTTCCTGTTCGCTGGTTGGATTCCCTACTAAATGTCACATTCTTTAAGTAAGTTGGGCTTGACAACCCTTTAATATTGAGCTGAAGGACAGGAGAATTCAACAGGCTCAACACAGGCCTTACAAGCAGGAGGTGCACACTACCTGGTCCCCAGGGCTGCTGTGTGTGCCCCAATACCAAAAAACCCTTTCCATAACCCTGGAAGTTCCTCTTTGCCCTAACCATTGCAAACTAAAACACAACACGATTAACATTTCCTCTACCTACAGCAAGCTCAGCAATTAAATTCTCATTTGCCAGCTTCAAGAATACAAATTCAGTAAGTTGACCCTTAAGTGATTTCCTTCAAGTGCCAAATGAGAAATTAATGCCACCAAAGCGAGTCCCTTTCACTCACAATTATAAATGCCCACTGATATTCTAAAACCTGAAGAGCATTAACTAACTGCTGATGTTAGTCATGTGGCAGTAACTTCATAACTTACTGAGAAGTTTTGTCTTTTTCTTTAATTTTGAGTCATACCCAGAGATGCCTAAGATCAAAACTTCAGCAGGTCATGTGCAAGGCAAGTACCTAACCCACTGTACAATCTCTTCAGCCCTCATGAACAGTTTTATGAAGTTCCCCACTAGTATAAATGGCACAGCCGAATTTCCCACATTTGTGCAAAGTAGGGATCAGCACATACTGCTAGCAATAAGTGAGCCTTGCTCTGGGAAAACCACCTTTGTGATCAAGATATCTGTTCTGCTGGCTAAGAACTGATAATGAGCAGTCTTTTAGGACAACCTCCAGTGGAAGGCCTTAGTCCTCACCTGTGTATCTCTGGGCTTTTCTTGTTTTTAGCTGCCTCCTGCTCAGTTCCCCTCTTTAGGTATTTAGTAAAGCGTTCATGTAACGTCATTCCTGAGGATCCAAAGTGATGTTCTACGGAGAGTCAAAGAAAGGCACATTAGGTTGATCAAAGGTAGACAGGATACCAATTATTAAGAATTGGTACCTTAACCAGCAGCCAGAGATGGAATAGAAGCAAACAAGTCTATGTAACATACTGGAAAAAAATAAAGGAAAAAGGTCTGGATCAAAGACCAAAGTTGGGCATTACGTTTCCACTAGAGCTACCTTCTCTTAGGAAATGGCTTCAAAGAAAGACACTGGGAGTTTGCTTCCCTTTGATTTAAACTCCTGCTGGAGTTTAAAACCTGAATTTCCTCAGATAATCTAATTACTAAATCATGGCTGTTCTCTAACATCTACCTTCATTTGCCTAGAAAGTGGTAAAATGTGCAGGGAAACTCCATTATCACAAGGTCTGTGAGAAACCTCTAAAGCAGAGGTCCCCAAATTTCTTTGGCCTACCACCCCCTTTTCCAGGGGGAAATTTAAAAAAAATTTTTTTAAACTTAGCAATCCCCTAGAAATCTATCTTCTTTCAGCGAATGGAATGCCCTACAACCGCACCGTCCCTACATCAGTCTAGTGGTACCTCCATAATCTCCTCAAGGGTGGTATGGCCCACTTTGGGAACGAGTGCTCTAAAAGCTTCCACCTGTTGGACAGGAAAGGACAGAGCTCAAGAGCTATTTTAAAGCCTTTTCCCAGTATTTCAAACCTGCATGCTAAAGATTACTATATCACATGATCAGAGGTTATTAGCATTTCAAAATGTTCAGCTCTGTAATTAAAAAAAAAAATTTCAATCTCCTCTGAAAGGAATTTCCATCAAGCTAGTCTCCAGCTTCAAAGGCCTTTCTGATGAGATAAGGAGCCAAAAAGGTTCCCTTATTCACCCACTCATTCTTCTGTAAGAGAGGAAGACGCACAATGAAAGGGAGACTGAAGAAGGCTGGGGCCTGAACTCACCTTTAACATGGTGAACGATGGTCACAATATGCTGGGCAAAAAGTTCTGAGGGGCTCCGCTGAGACTGAGCTGACTGTATGTGCTGGAAAATGGAGCGGAATTCCTGTTCCTTTTTGTTGCTATGAACTAGGTCCCGAGAAAGCTTCCGTTCTTGAGCCAATAAGCCACTGGGTCTGAAGGAGATACGCAAGGAAGTTCAAGATAAGCTGATATAGAAGGAACTAGAAAATCCAAATCCTAAAAACTGATACTTCAAAACAGTACATTTGGCCACAAAGTTTCCTTTTTATTCTTTACCAAAATTTAAGGAAACCTCAATGCACCTAACAACGGAAAGGGGCATTCAAATGATTTCTTCCCAGTTTAATAGGAAGCAAGCAAGGGTTTTTTTTTTTTTTTGGGGGGGGGGGGCGTGGGGAGACACTACTATTGCTTCTGACACAGGAAACAAATAGAAACACATTTTGTTTAAGGTGCCCAGAGATCAGACTTAGGATCTCACAGGCAAAGTAGGTACCCTTATCACTAAGCTACATCTTGGGACCTTCACAAAGTTGTTCTAAAAGAGCAACTAGTGACAGTTTAGGCGCTCGCTTTAGACACAGCCAACACTATTTAATCCATGGCAGCGTGTATAGTACCCTACGACCTCCAGAGTACGAGCATTGCCCAGTATGCACTAGTCCCAACAACAATAAAAGAACTAGAGCATGAGCGATAGAATAGTAGGGTAGGGTATTTGCCTTGGACGCAGCTGACCCAGGCTCAATCCCTGGCATCCCATATATGTCCCATGAAGTTCCTGTACCTGAGCACCACCACGAAACACTCCCCTCCCAAAAGAAAAAAATATGAAAGAGCAACTAGTCTGGCCAACTGGAAGCATTCAGTGAAGTGACTCAGTGAAGTAAAGCAGGAGTGGGATGCTAGTTTGAGCAGGTTTCCACTGGCTTTGCAGTGCAGAACAGTCAGCGAAGGTTTCACTGCTTTACTCTAAAACGCTGTTCCCAAAACCCAAATCTAAAATTGCTACATCTGGAGCCAAAGCAATAGTACACCATGTAGGGCACCTGCCCTGTACACAGCTGACCCAGGTTTGATCCCCAGTATCACATATGGCCCTGAGCCTGCCCAGAGTGATCTCTGAGCACCACTAGGTCTGGTCCCAAAACAAATACAAATTGCTGTACTATTTGATAAAGGCCTGTAATTAAGATTCTGGTGACTAGCTAAGAATGCAGGAATGGATCTTGGATGGTTCGAGGGCAAGAAACAGCATACCTTAAAGAAAAAATGGGGCCAGAGGAGGACGCCAAGGATAGTGGCTAAGAGAACTGCCGAGGGACACTCTGGCTTCTAGTCTATTCTCGGGAAAATAGGTTAGGAGACATCACTTAGGCCATTAAAGCACTGAGGATCGAAAAGCACATGAGGCAGGTATGAGGTCCTGGTCTTTATCCCCCAGCATCACTGTGAAGAATTCCTGACATCTTAGGATGAAGACAGAAGAACCACCTCTCACCTGGCAAGGTCCTCATCAAAGGAGTCCATCCGGACATTGACCTGGGCCTCTCGAGTAATGGAAAAGGAAGACTTCCCTGTGGAAAAGTCTCCTTTGCCTGACAGCTTCTCTCGGCTCTCAGAGGTCTTTCTGGGGGGAGGTGATGAGCTTTTCTCTTGGACTGCTTTGTAAGCGGTCACTCGGAAATTCTTCTCAGGCACAAATCCCCGGTGCCCACTCTCATTTCTCTTGGACCCTCCCCGATCCTCCTTTTTGGATCTCTCAGAGAAGGACTCCTCCTCTAGCTCCTCTGTTTTCCTCGGCTTCTCCTTCCCAGGAGCTGCATACACCAGGCCCTCCCATTTGCCAGACTTCTCCTCCTCCTGGCTTTTGTTTGCACCTGCTATAACTTTCGACATAAATTTGGGTTCATCATCAAATTCGGATTCCTTCCTTCCCTTAGCCTTGTCCTTATCTTGATCATCCATCTCATCCTTGTGGAAATCAGTCATCTTCTTTTCAAAGTCATCTCGAAGCTTATACCTTTTGGGCGACTGGCTACCTCGAAAAGATTTTTCAAGATCAGTCTTGGGAGCAAACGGATCAGATTTCATTTTTGCATCGCCCAAGCCTGTGTCAGAGAAGCTCCCTTTCTCTTTCATTTTCTCTTTATCGCTACTTGTTTGTTTCTGTTCCTTGTCTTTTCCATTCTCTGTCTTCTGCTCTTCTAAATACCTAGTGACAGAAACATAAGGGAGACACACCAGAGGCTTCTTGAGCAAGCGCATCTGAAACACACCACATGATATGGTCCCGGACTGTTTGATTTCTCTGAACAAGCACTGCAGCTGAATTCAACTATTACCACAGGATTTTCTACTTGGATACTTCCTAGTAATTTCTGAAAAACTACCCTTGATAGATTTATGAACTTAGCATTTAAGAACATATACTGTCCACGAAGCTGTACCTTAACAAAAACAACCAAAAAGAAAATACCAAAGATAATCTTAAAGATACTGAAGAACAGAAACCTACTTACCTGTAAGTGGTCTAAGAAAAAAAAAAAAAAAAAGGTCTTATCCAACCTTCTGTCACTTAAAATCTGCTTTCAGCAAAGTTAACATAGAATGTTCAACCTTGGACTGTTTTTGCTTTTATACAACTCACATTTGGAAATATAAGTCTCAAAAGAGACTTTCAATTTTGCTTCAAGTCACCTAGAAGATCTAAATATGAAATATACTGCAAACACAAATAAAAACAAAATACATGTTAATTAGGGAAGAGGGCAAAAATTCATCCTGCTCTATTTTTATGGAAAAGCAGAGCTCAAGCCCAAATCTTCTAACGTGATTCACAGTCCTGGCAAGAAACAAACTTACATTTTAAAATAGACTTACTGAAGGCTGAACACCTGAACATTTCATTTATACTATCAATCGAGAAAGTCTAATCAAGTCATAGGTACATTAATTAATACAGCAAAGAAGAATAAAAAACAGCAGGGTTGCAGAGAATAGGCTAATAGAAAAGAAAGAGAACATGGAAACCACTTGCCTAATTACATCCCAACCTGGTCCCCAAACAACTGCCCTGTCTTAGTCCTGCCATCCCAATCCACCCAACCACACAAAGATTCCAACTCACCGTGTCCCCAGAGTAGAAAGATGGAAGCACTGTCATGTCCTCTCCTAACATGCAGCCTGGCAGGCTACTACTGGGACAACACACACCTTGTGATTTTAAAACAAGGCCTTCCTGGACTAAGCCTTGGATGTTCCCACCCCGCCCGTTTTCTTGGGGGGTGGGGGGATAAGAATATATCGGTGCGGGTCCTCAGTATCAGGGACTGATGCACATCAATCACAGTAGACGGTGGGTCAACAACTTCAATGGCCATTCATTTTGGAAAGACCTTATTTTTTAAATTAATTTTTTTTGGGGGGGGAATAGCTGACCCACAAATCTCTACTACTCTCTGGCTTACATCAGTAGAATCCAAGGAAATTTTAAATGTGAAAACATCATTGCAGAGGAGTCTAAAGAAAGTTTACACTGCAATACAAATTCAGGAAGGTAAGAAAGTTAGAGCTAAGCCAAAGGTTTCCTGGGGTAACGCTTTCAAGTCTGTTAATGAAAAGTTTAGGATACGGGGACTACCATATTACCATTAATTAGAGCTCTTGGATCATATTGCAATTAGGCTGTCAGCTGGAGAGATACAAACCACTAACAGGCAGAGGAAGCAAGATACTTGCCTCTTTGAATACGCTGCTCCTCCAGGAGCAGATTCCTCCTTCTGAGATGAGCCATACGCGGAGCCAGTGGTTGGTGGGCTCTTACCCACAGGGCTCTTTTTGGATGGGCTCAAGGACCCGGAGCTGTGGTCAAACTGACCTTGGTGTGCTCCTGCCTGGTAACCAGAACCACTCTGCAGAGACGAGCCCATCTGAGATGTACTGGAAAGTGGAGGGCTAGGTTTTGGCACAGGACTAGGACGGGGTGATCGCCGCCTCACCACCACAGACTGAAGGGGACTTTTAAGAGCAGGGCTTCGCTCCCGCGGACTCAGCTCCGAAACTCCCGAGCCCCGTGACGCAGAACCAGCACTGTAACCAGAGGCATCTGGCCATGGCTTTGAGCTGTCAGATGCCTTTGAATCTTGAGAAGCGCCTCCAGAGAATGTCTGCTCCTTGCTCTCATCTCCCTGGTTATCGCCAGCGGCCTGAGATGGCCGGCTATCCTTGGAAGAGGACTTTTTCTCCTTTGCAGACTTGCGCTTGGAAGACTCAACTCGGCTATGGTTGGAGGAAGAACGAGAGGATGAAGAGCGCCTTGACCTGTCAGAGGAAGACTTATCGGAGTTTCTAGAATGGCTCCTGGACCTCGGTGAGGGGGACCTTCTCTTTGGCGAGCGGGACCGGGAGCGGCCACGACGAGGGCTGTAAGCTTGCCGGTAATTTTGCCAGTTTGATCGGTAGTTTCCATAGCCTCCTCGGTTATACTGGCCCCAAGGATAAAAGCCTCTGTTGCGCCCTCGGAAATAATAGGGCCTTCTATAACCTCTGTTGTGACCTCGAAAATCCCGATTCTGATAGACTCTTGGGTGGTTTCTCTCTCTGTTATGAGCTGGAGAGTATGATCTGGAACGAGACCTAGAACTGAAAGGGGAATGGGGGAAAGCAGAACCGTGAATTTTTGACCATCATTTTATTAAAAATCACGATCATTTTATTCTATCTCTTTGCTAATAAAGAGATTAACGCTGTGAAATCCCTGTTCTTATTTATCATTTATTGCCAGTTTTGTTTTCAGCAAAAGGGGCCAAGCTTAAAATATTTAAACCTACTGCTTATGGCTTATGTTTGCTATAAAAATACAAAGAATCACTTTAATAAGACACCAAGACTGCTTCATTAGAATTATAGTTTTTCTTTTGGTCTTTGGGTCATACCCACTCATGCTCAAGAGATGATATGGGATGCCAGGGATCAAACCCAGGTCAGCCTAGTGCAAAGCAAGCGTGCTACCCCCATACTATTCCCCTCCCCCCATACTATTTCTCTGGCTCTGGAATTGTAGCATATTTTAAACAGTAGTGAAAGAGCAACAAAATCTTAATGTAAAAAACTAAACAAAGGTCATTTTAATTTAGTAACTACTTTAGAGTTTCACTGTCAAGGGATTTAATGTTCCTAGGTCATTGGATGAGGAAGAAATGCAAGTTGTGGTAGCACTGTCGGTAGCGCTGTCCTCTCGTTGTTCACAGATTTGCTTGAGCAGGCACCAATAACATCTCCATCGTGAGGCATGTTGTTACTGTTTTTGGCATTTCAAATACACGACGGGGAGCTTGCCAGGCTCTGCGTGCAGGCAGGATATTCTCAGTAGCTTGCCAGGCTCTCCAGGAGGGACAGAGGAACTGAACCCAGGTCGGCCGCATGCAAGGCAAATGCCCTACCTGCTCTGCTATCACTCCAGGTCTTACTTTGTTTTGTTTGGGGGGGGGGGTACACCTGACAATACTCAGGGCTGACTTCTGGCTCTGAGGATTGGACTACATTAGCGGTATGCAAGGTAAGCACCCTATCCACTGTACTATCTCTCCACCCCATAGCCCCAACATTTTTGTAACATTCTAGTCTCTATCCTAGTGACTTCTGTGCAGTTCTAATTGTATAGATCTCACTAAGGTGTGAGATTATAAAAATACAGTTACAAGTCTGAACCAAAGAATACCTAAAATCGGAACTTGAGGGCATTTTTTTCAAAATAGTCTTCTGAGTGAAGGTTTATTCCAAGAAATGAACCTTGAGTACAGATTAGAAGTAAGCCCTAAGCATGGACGTGTGGCCTGTCAAAAAATTTTTTTCTTGGAAAAAAATAAATAAATAAATAAAAGCACATTAAGTGTTTTAAAATGGGGAAGTTGTGTAACTACATTTACCTAGATGCCACCAGAGGGCACCATCTGACCTTAAGACACCCAAGTCCATGGGAGATTTGCAAAGATAACTATGGAGAGCAACAACTCTTTCAGGCCGTCCTTAAGCATAACTACAGCATTGTTCTGTACTCTTCATTTCACAATTTAAAACTAACTTATCATAGGTAAAAACTTCCAGAATCAGAAAGATTCAGAATAGTCACCTGCTAGGCTTGTCAATTACAAGAAATTGTTTTTCCACCAAAACAGGACAAGACCAATGCCTGAACATGGCCAATCTGGGTTCAATTCTGGGCATCATATGGTTCCCTTCGCCCCGCTAAGAGTGACCTCAACACAGTGCCAGGAGAAGTCCAAATATGGCCCAAAAAGCCCAGAAAACAGACTGCAAGATACAGCTCCATGTAGAGAAGGCACTTCTACATGAAACTTCGGGGTCAATGCCCAGCAACTTCACCGGCACCACTGCCCACAAAAACAAAAAAATTAAACAGGCTAAAACTATTTGCTGTTGTAAAAATCCACCAGGGTTCATGGACAACAATTGCCTTATCAACTACATATAAAGATTACTACTCTTGGAGCCAGAGAGATAGTATAGCAGGCAGGGCACTTGCCTTGAAAGTGGCGGGTCAAGGTTCAATCCTAGTACTCCATATAGTCCCCCAAGTACCACCAGGAGTAATCCCCGAGCACTACTGGGTGTGGAAACCCCGCAAAAAATGATTATCACTTCTACGTACCTAAAATTATTTAAAATTACTAGAAATTCCTTGCTAAAACATTTTCTTCATGTGTAGAGTAAAAACCATTCCGTCCGTAGCATTTCTCATCAGGCATGAAAGGAATACAAGCATTTTATATACTCATTTAAGAAATTAACTTCATTTAGCAAATGTGACAGGTGTTAACAATGGTGTTTTTTAAAGATTTCCATTAAATTCTCTAAAGGAGATAAAGTATTATTTGTTTTCTATTACATATTACCCATGGCAGAATGCCTATCCAAGGACAACAGCAACAGCCAAAGGTGTCTTACAGAGATGATTATTTCTGAGTACTACTTGTATATAATTTAAAAACAACAACAAAACTTACCTTCCACACTTTTCATTCGAAAACATAACAACGTAAGAAAAGGAGAAGGAAGAAGCAGATGCAGGCTATGAAACTGAGTATGACCCGGTTAAATTGCTATGCATGAAAGAGGTGACGCACCGCCAGCACTAAGGAGGGTTCAATTCATACTCCCATCCTCAGAGGCTACTGCTGCTTCTGTCACCAATTATTAGTGAGGGCCCTGTGGCATACTGCATCCAAAACCCGCAGTCATTGCATAGATGCAGGAACCTGAGTCTCTGCAGATTGCAAATGAAGTTATTTAGAGAAGTCACTGAAAAGGATAGTCTGTGAAATAAAGGAAACAATCAATTCTCTCCAATTCTGTAGAATTCAGCAGTTAAATTAAAGGCATGATTTCTCAAATTCTCCAAATACTATACTTTCCTTATGATTAAAAAGAAAAAAATCTCAAACAGATAAGCCAGAAATAAAAATGGACCATCCAGTGGCAGCTATCTGTTTCTAAAAATCAGAAGTCAGACTAGAACCAAATAGAAAAATGCGTTCTTTACTAATGGATAAATTTCTCCAAGTTAACAATTTCCTAGCCATATGTTCACACATAAAATTGCTCTAGACCTATCCCACCACATATTAAGGCAATTTCCCCCTAATTTGCCAAGCAACTGACAACACCAAATGATCTTTAGAATAAGAAAATATGCCCAGAACACAATTTATCAAATTTCTAGGTTAACATTTACCATTGATTTATCATTTCAATTGTCTCTTATTTCTGAACAAATTAATTTTCATTAACTAAAATTTCAAATATACCCAAATAAGCTAAAACTTGAGTTTTTTATGCCTCAAAAAGAAAGACTGAAGTGCAAAGTAGAAAGTGAGTTACTGAAAGTCTCTACTCAATGCAAAGACCTTAAAGACTACAAATTTCTGGAGGTAAATAAGGTAAACATTGAAGGTTTCCCCTCACTTTTTTTTAAGAGAGAATGAAAACTGGAATAAAATTTTCTTATGCAGCTCAGCAATATGAGGCCCTGGGTTCAACCCCTGGCACACACACACAAAAAAAAAAACAAAACCAAACAAACACCACACCATACATGTTAAAATAAAGTTCAGGGGAAAAAAATAAAAACACAACTTACATAGACTGTCATAACTGGGCACCATTCAAAGAGTCTAAAACTAGGCATAATCAAAGATTAGTATAAAAAGAAATGCATGCACCCAACTGATTTATCCTCAGGGTGTAATGTCATCTTAAAAAATTATGTGTATGCGTCTATGAAATTCTTTTGTTTCAGAGGCAAAGTGTATGACTTACTCTACACTGTATGAGAACTAACAATATTTAAAACTTTTATTTAACTCTGACCTGAAATTTTCAGAAACACATCTCACAGTCAACTTGTTTTGTTTTTTAAGCATACTTAGTTCATTGTTCAATTTTTATTTTTTGGTTTTTGGGTCACACCTAGCAATGCTCAGGAGTTACTCCTGGCTCTCCACTCAGGAATCACAACTGACTATGCCCAGGGGACCATATGGGATGGCAGGGACTGACCACTGTTGGCTGCATGCAGGACAAATGCCTTACCCACTATACAATCTCCCCAGTCCCAAGAACTAACTTGTTAAAAAGAAAAAAATATTTCTATTTTAGGAGGAAAAGAATCCACCAACCATTTGCTTTATAGTCCTTTAGAATGCTACGGGAAAAGAAACTACCAAGAATAAAGCTTAAAACTATGAAGAGGGGCTGGAGTGACAGCACAGCGGGTAGGGCGTTTGCCTTGCACACAGCCAACCCGGGTTTGATTCCAAGCATCCCATATGGTCCCCTGAGCACTGCTAGGAGTAATTCCTGAGTGCAGAGCCAGGAGTAAGCCCTGTGCATCACCAGGTGTGACCCAAAAAAGGGGGGAAAAAAAAACCCAACTATGAAGAGATAGCACAGCAGGTGCTAGCTTGCCTTGCATGCAGTAGACCTGGGTTCGATTTCCGGTATCCCATATGGTTCCCTGAGAACCACCAGGAGTGACTGTTGAGTGCAGAGCCAGGAGAAATCCCTGAGCATTGCCAAGTGTGGCCTCAAAATTAAACAAAATAAAACAAAGATAAATAAATAAACTGTAGTGGGGCCAGAGCGATAGTACAGCTGGTGGGGCACCTGCCTGCATGCAGAACTGCCAGAAGTAATTTCTGAGTGCTGTGGTCAGGCGTAAGCACTGAGCCAGGTATGGCCCCAAAACAAACCAAAAAACCCTAAGGAACAAAAATAAAGGAATATAATAAAGCTTAGTAACTACTTTTCTTGCGGTTGATTTTATATTTTATAGCCTTTAAAAAACTCAATACTTAACGGAATTAAACAGTGGTAAATTCTGATAATTTTCTCCTTGCTTAATGAAATTCTGACAAAAAGAATGAAACTGCTAAGCAAAAATTATCTCTCTCTTGGTAGGTAATTCCCTAACTCAAATATACTGAAAGTCTTTTAATTCAGATATTCAAACAGTTTTAAAGAATGAAAATTCTTTAAATTCATACATCAAAAGATGAAAACTACCAGAAGTTTGGCCTATTTTCTATTCCAAAACGTAACCGGAATAGGGAAATCCACTAAAGGTGTGAAAACTGGCCAAATTAAAAAACATTGGCAATAAATTCAAAGTAATTATTTGCACATTTAGAAAGACAAAGTGATGTCCACAACAGTAATTTTTGTTTGGTTTTTAAGATATGCTTTGAGGTTAAAGAGATTTAATGGGCAGAACATTTGCCTTGTGTAAGGCCCACTCGGGTTCAATCCCTTGCACCCCGTATATGTTCCCTCTCCTGCCAGGAGTAACTTGAGCAGTGCCAGATGTGGCCAAAAAAAATTTCCACAGAATGGAGCTTGTAAACTCACACCCAGGTGTATATAGAAATGATTCCTGATTCACCAATCCCCTCCACTCCAATCCAGCCAAAGTTTTTACAGGTCTTAATTGTTAAGGATTCTTTCTCTCACAATGCTGATCACACTATTAGTCATCTTAGCTATCCTTTGCTGATGATGCATATAAAATTTGCTCTAATCATCAAAAAGAATATTTCAGTGAAAAATCAATCAGATGTGTAGAGATTTGAAGCAAGCAGTTCAAATAAAATGAAGTGCTTTTTCTTCCAAAGTGATGAGAAACAGCAAGAGCTGGCAGAAGAGAAAAGGAATTAGGCTAGCAGCATGATAATCAAAGTTGATTTTAATTTGCAGTTTTGAAAAAAACAGAGTATCTTACAGTCCAAGCCCCACCTCTAGCAAATTCCCTCCCCACCTCTTTGACATTTACAGAAATTGTTAAAGAAGGCATCCCAAAGGCCCATAATGACAGGGGAATGTACTGATTACCTCAAAATAGAATCACACTGCCTTACCTCAGCCGGCGCTTCCTTGAACGAGAGACAGAACGACTTCGGGACCGAGACTTCGAAAATGAACGAGAACGAGATCTTGATGCAGATCTTGACCTTGAAGAGCGAGATCCAGATTTGGATTTGTTTGTTTTTGACATCTCTGGAGAAAGAGTCAGTCTTCAATTATTCCTGAGGGGGGGAAAAAAAAACAAAACATTCAAACAAAGGAGTCATTCTGCACACTTGAAATTCTCTGGACACTTAAAACCAAAATCCCACTGATGAAAAGACAGATAAAAAACAAAACAGGAGCTTTGCATGAGATGGGACTCAGCATCCCATGTGGTCCCTGTATATGCCAAGAGAAATTTCTGCGTGCAGAACCCGGGGTGACCCCCCCACTCCCATTGAAAAAACAAACAGAAAACCACACACCTAAAAAACCCCAAAAACCCTTAAAGAAGGGAGGTGGGAGGGTGCCCCTTCACCAAGAGTGTATCCTTTTTTTGGTTAGTATTGGAGACATACCCAGCAGTGCTCAAGGCTTATTCCTGGCTCGGCACTCTGCACTCAGGGAGGACTCTATATGGGGTACTGGGAATCGACTCCACGCAGACCATGTGCAAGACAAGCGCCGTACCAGCTGTACTACTGCTCCAGCCCCAAGAGTACAGTTTTTAATAAACAAAAACATAAACAGTCTGGGAATAGAATACTAAAGCATAAGAAGGGCTACTGGTCTGGAAAGGTTAAGTATACAACAGGTGAAGGTGATTGCAGGCGGCCAATCCAGGTTCCAATCCTGGAACCACATATGATCCCCCAAGTGTCAAGACAGTTTTAAAAGTCAGTAAAGGCAAAATAAAAGAAAATTCGTGGCAAAATAGGAAATAATACAATGTGGTCTGAGAGTAGAGGTTAAGATGATGCCTTGTATGTGACCAACCCCTGTTCAATCCCTGTCACCACCTATGGTCCCCTGAGCACTGCGGGAGTGGCTGATGCCTCAGCAAAGCAGCAGCCTGAGCTGATGCTAGCCCCAGAGCCAGGAGCAGACTCTAAGCACTGCTGGGTGTGTCCGTATTCACGCCCCGCCCCTCAAGCCGCAAGGAAACAACAAAAACCAAGGGTTATAGGCAAAGTAGTGTAGTATGCCTGATTTTGTGCTCTGTAACGCTTCTCGAGTAGGAAAGTCAAGTTCAGGAGAAATACTAAATGTGTTTTCTATTTTATGACTTTTCTCTAGGGATTACCCTCTCCGAGTAAGAAGGACGAGAAAGGGAAACAAAATCAAGAGAACGTGGGCCTCTCTAGGGTAATGCTTGGCAAAAACTTAACACCCTACCCATATCCCCGAAGAAATCAAGCCAGAAGGCCTTTCCACTGTGGTAAGTAGAACTCCTTTTCTTTCTTTTTTTTTTCTTTTTTTTTTTTTTGGTTTTTGGGCTATTACCTGGAGGTGTTCCTGCCTCTGTGCTCAGGGGACCATATGGGGTGCAAGGCAAAAATCTGGGTCGGTCACTTACAAAGCTAGCACCTTACCTGATGTATTATATTGCTCTGGCCTAAAGTGGCCCCCTTTAACTAAATAATACTAACTTCAATTCTGAGGTCTCAATATTTACATGAAGTGAATATTCACATGTCCACAAATAAGTACTTTCCTTTAAAAAATAGGGGAGTCCTTTGGGAAGAATGGCAATGCTATTGTTTAAGCCATTTAAAACATAATAAAAGGCTTGCCTTGTTATTTGTTATGAAATCTCAAGTTATTTCCAGTTCAGTAATAAAACTTTCTTTTTTGAGATCAATAGATTTTATTTGGAGGTTTTGGAGAGGAAGAGAGTGAGAGAGTAACGTACTCAAGAGAGAACACAGGATTCTCCCAAGGGCAGAGAGAGAGCCCCTACACACATCCTAGCATTAGACAGAAAAGCATGAAAGTACACATCTCAAGAGGGGAGATGCGGGCGACACATGTGCTCGGCCACATGGGCGCAAGCAGCACAAGGGCTCAGGCAGCACATGTGTGCCTAATAAAACTTTTTTAATTTTTATTAGTGAGACATCATGAGGTACAGTTGTAGACTTACAAATTTTTGTGCATGGGTTTCAATTATACAATGATCAAATACCGGGGCTGGAGCAATAGCACAGCGGGTAGGGCGTTTGACTTGCACGCGGCCGACCCAGGTTCGATTCCCAGCATCCCATATGGTCCCCTGAGCACTGCCAGGAGTAACTCCTGAGTGCAGAGCCAGGAGTAACCCCTGTGCATCGCCGGGTGTGACCCAAAAAGCAAAAAATAAATAAACAATGATCAAATACCCATCCCTCCACTAATAAAACTTTTTAATGTCAAACATTTATATTCAAGAGCCAGAGAGATAGTACAACAAGGAAGGCTTCCACAGAGCTGACTGGGTTTCGATCTCCCAATACCCCACATGGTCCCTCAAAGCATGCAACAAGTGATCACTGAGCAGTCAGGAGTAAACCTTGCACACTTCTGCATTTTAACTATTTTTTATTTTTACTATTACTGGCATTTTTTACTATTTTATTCTAGAAAGAAAAAAGCGGACACTGATGGAGGTTAAGAGTTCTTATTTGCAATGGAGGCTCCACAGCAGTGCTCAGGAGTAACTCCCAGCTGGTGAAACCAAAAACAGAATAAACAGTTCAGTGCTCTGTGTGGTACTGGGGACCCCAGGCGCAAATGGTGATGCTTTGGTAAGCATTGATATTTTTTCATCTTTAGTATGGAACCAAAAACCTACTACTGAAATATTTTCAAAAACCCAAGTGACTTCCACAAGAACTCAAAATTAACTTTAAAAAATCTGTATTTTCCCAGAAGTAGGGGGAAGGGGTGGGGGGGAGGTAAGATGGGAGAGGAGAGGAGAGAGGGGAAGAAAAAGGGGAGGGGAGAGGGAGAGGGGAGGGAGAGAGACAGAGAGAGATAAGTGAGAAAGTGCCTGCTTCTATGGCAGGGGTGGAGAGGTGGGTATTAGAACATTGTTATGACTGAAACCCAATAGTGAACAACTTTGTAATCCTGTATCCCGCTGTGATTAAAAAAGAAGAAGAAACCAAATGGAGGAGAAATTATAGAATCATTTTTAAAATAAACTCTTAAAGGGGCTGGAGCAATAGCACAGCGGGTAGGGCATTTGCCTTGCACACGGCTGACCCAGGTTCGATTCCCAGCATCCCATATGGTCCCCCACAAACCGCCAGGAGTGATTCCTGAGTGCATGAACCAGGAGTGACTCCTGTGCATCGTCGGGTGTGACCCAAAAAAGCAAAAATAAATAATAAATAAACTCTTAAAATTACTAACAGAACATTGACGTTTTCTACAAAAGAATGATTAGCTATCGAGATCAAGTATAATTTTCAATGACTTTTTGTTTGTTAAGAACAATAAATTTTTTGCTTTTTTTTTCAGAAAAAAAAAAAGCCTGCATTTTAATTACAGGAAGGCCTTATTTACAATGGAATTTTGCTACTTTTGTTTTGTTTTTGGGCACACCCAGTTGTGCTTAGGGCTTATTTTTGGCTCTGAGCTCAGGAATTACATGGGATGGACTCAGGGGACCATGGGGTACTGGAGCTGGAACGCTGGTTGGTAGCCTGCAAGGCAAGTACCCTCTCTGTTAAGATGGTTAAAAGAAAGGCCAGAGGAGGGCCAGAGAAATTGTACAGTGGGTAGGGTGCTTGACACAAGTAATTCCTGAGTGCAAAGCCAGGAGAAACCTCTTAGCACCACCGAGTGTGACCCAAAACCCAAAAATAAACCCCCTCCTCCCTAAAAACAGTCCAGTCTAGGTGCATTCTCTACCCTGTAGACTAGACCTACATCTCTACCTACTGTACTATCAAACCTTCTAGCTGTACTATCACTACAGCCCCTGAATGAATACTTAAGAGTAAAAAAAACTTGTGGGGGGGAGGGGGACAACTAAGGATCATTGAGAGATACCACAAGGGTAAATCCCAATTCAATCCTACCATGGTTTGGCTCAACAACCTCTCCCTCCCAGAATGTTGATTCAAACAAAAAAGGGAAGTATAATTTGTCAACTGTACAGGCAGTCTCTACCCATGTTCAAATCCTAACAAAGTTGAGCAAATAGTCAAGTCTCTACAGTTCTATTCCTGTATCTTTTCACTTCAAAAATTAAGTTCTAGGGGATGGAGCAATAGTACAGCGGGTAAGGCGTTTGCCTTGCATGCAGCTGATTCGGGTTCGATTCCCAGCATCTCATATGGTCCCCTGAGCACCACCAGGAGTAATTCCCTGAGTGCAGAGACAGGAGTAATCCCTGTGCATCACCAGGTGTGACCATAATAATAATAATAATAATAATAATAATAATAATAAGTTCCAGCTTATATGTATGTACACATATACACAGAGATGAAAGATTTGCAATTAAAGAATTAAAATGCCCCCATGTGTGAGCTATAAGTATAAAAAAGTTTTATTTATCAGCAATAGCAATCGTTTCAATTTAAGTGCAAAAACTTAAATTCCAAATTGCAACCTCAATCTATCTCCTAATTACAAACATGAGCAGTCCAAAATAACATTTGCAACATGGGCTGCTTCACTGATTTATTTTTAGAAATGTGATTACTTCGTAACAGCTGAGAGAATTACAAAAGGGGAGACAACACATTAATAAGGTACATGTTCAGATTATCAACCCCAAAAGCTAAAGCTACGAACTCTATACAGAGTCCAAAAGGTACTAGAAAAAATGTGAGCTTGAACCAGAGAGAGTACAATGGGTAAGGCCCCTGTTTGATCTGCAATACCTACTATGGTTCTCTGAGCCCATACTAGCTTAAGGTAAAAGGTAAAGGCCCTCCCGTTGATCATCGATTTGCTTGCTCGAGCGGGCCCAGTAACGTCTCCATTGGAGACTTTGTTGTTACTGTGTCTGGCATATCGAATACTCTCGGTAGCTTGCCGGGCTCTCCGAGAGGGGCGGAGGAATCGAACTCGGGTCGGCCATGTTGGCCGCTTGTAAGGCGAACACCCTACCGCTGTGCTATCACTACGGCCATACCACCCTGAACGCGCCCGATCCCATACTAGCTTAACTGGTCATATTCTAAGTTCACGATGATCTTTGGAGAATAAATCCCTTTGCTACTGGATGTTAGCTGGGATATCAACAGCAATCTGATAGGTCATTCATTCGAAACCTGCCCATCACAATATTCCCAACATAGGGGATTTCCCAATTTTCTGAGAACTTGCACAATGGTTATCTATTAAGCTCAGGATGCTCAATGCCATTAATCTTTCATCATTACAGAGAATAAACAGCACAGTTCAACAGCTTAAGTTTTCTTAGACTTACCCTAGAAGCTCTCCTATATCCTTAGGGTATGGTAACAGCAACTTTAAATGGGCATGTATTACCACTGGGGACTATTTTCTTCTCACTCTGGTTTTTCTAACTTAAAAAGGGCACTACTGCCTGTGATAACAAATGATCTATGGCTTCCTTCCGGTTCTAATTATGGCACATCTTTTTAAAAACTAAGTGAAAAGGCTATTATGGAAGAGTTATTTTTTTCTCCTTTCCCTTTGCTTTGTTGTTGCAATGACCAGAGATCAAACACTTGGTTGTGGTGTTCGCTGCGATTTGTATACTTGTGTTTTTTCCTATTTGTGGATATTTGTGGTTTGTATATTTGTGGATATTTAAGATCACAATATCCCAAACACTCCATGCATGTGGGGAGATACTGGGGAATGACAGCTGATGGTATCCAGTGATGGCCTACGTCATCAAGGGGGTCCTTATCTCTGAGCCATATCTGAGTCCTTTACTGCTTTTTCTTCGGTGGATTCGGGATATCAATCCAATGCCAGGAATAACGCTTGAGACTCCTTAACAGGAAAGTGTGCACTCAAGCCTTCAAGCTATCTCTTCAACCCACTCTTCTTTATTTTTGGGGAAGGACACACCCACTGGTGCTCAGAGCATACTTTCCACTCTGTGCTCAGGAAACACTCCTGGTGGTGCTTGAGGAACCATCTGTGGTGCTGGGGGTTGAAACTGGAATGGGGACACGCAAGACAAGTGTCTTAGTTCCAGTATTATCTCTTCAGCTCCCACTTTTAAAATAAAATTATTATTACGAAGACCTGGAGCTGACACAGTGGTACACACTACAATCACCTACAGCGCTCTGAAAGAGTCTTGGCAAGTTTTGAGATTTTTCTGTCCTGGGAATCAAACCTCACATACGTGTAATCCAAGCTCCCTAGTGCTCACCTACAACCCAAATCTCTTGGAACGGCACTGTCCTCAAAAGGATACTAATGACTATGTGATTACGTCTTTTCAAATTACTCAAATTTTCAATCTGATCCATTATCAGCCACTTAAACAATCATCACTTATTTTGGCTGTTTCTTGTCTATCCATTAAGATTTCCTGTTAAGTAACTGCTAATCACATGTGCACTTCACCACTTTAAACTGGAAAAGAGAAAGATCTAGATGACTAAAATATATCTGACTCTATGGGGCCAGGGATGTGGCCTGGCAGCAAAGCACATGCCTTGCATATATGAGACCTGGCAAGAAGCAAAGGAGACGAGAGGAGAAATGCAGAGAGACAAAAATAAGTTCAAGATCTGTTGCCTCCCCCCTTTTTTTAATCTTACCAATGACTTGAATCCACAAAACAAATCAAGAAGAATCCGTTACAGAGGGTTAGAGCACAGGCTTTGAACAAAGAACAAAACAAAAAAGAAACAGATCCGAAGAGATAATACAGCTTGCACAGAGCCGAACCAGGTTAATTTCCAGCAATTCCTGAGCTCTAGCAGGCAAGATCCCTGAGCACAAAGCCAAGAATAAGACCTGAAGACCTGAGCTAGCAGCTAGGTTTGCCCTCCCCTGGCAAAAAAAGAGGTCTGTTTATTTCCTAGATCACTTATTTGCTTTTTTTGATTTTTTGTTTTTGAGCAACATTCAGCAGTGCTGAAGGGGACACCGTGAGATGCCAGGAAATAGAACCTGGGTCAGCTACATACAAGGCAAGTGCCCTACTCATTGTACCATCACTCTGGCCCCCCATCTTATTTTTTAAAAGGAACAAAACAAGGAGCCAGTGGGTAGGGCCTGTTGGGGAGATAACTCAAAAGGTTTGAGTCCATGCTCTGTATGCAAAATCCCCAAGAGTGAGCCACAACACCACTTTTTATCATCAAACTGTGAAGTCTTCATGGAAAGAGAACATACTCTGTTTTCTATAGTCTATAATTTACTGCAGCTGACTCACGTGGGAAAGTTTGAAGACTTATTACCAGTTTTTCCTGGCAGCTACAGAAGGCATAATTTTCTACAAATGTATGAAGAGTATAATCTTGTAGGAATTGCAGTTATTTGGAGCTGTATGAAGAAATAAGACTGATTTACACAAAACCTAGTAATGAAGGGGCCAGAACAACAGTCGAGACGGCAAGGTGCTTTGCTTGCCTCACACATAACCAACCTGGGTTCGATCCCCAGGACCACATATGATTCCACAAGTCTTCCATGAGTGATTCCCTCATAACAGAGCCAGAGACAACCCCTAAGCAGCGCTAGGTGTGGCCCAAAAACAAAACAAAAAAACTTGCAATGAAGTAGAAAAAAAGTGAGAAAAGTGAGTGTATAAGTAAACAAAAGTGAAAAATATATATATAAAAAAAATTGTGGCCAGATAATCTCATCACTGGCAACCATCCGGATCACTCACACATCCTTCTCTCCAAGAAGGGAGCATAACGTGACACTTGCTATAACCATGCCAGCCTGTTTCACTCGGGAGATGGGTGAGACTCCTCCCCACCCCAAGGGACCCAGCCCCAGCGGTCAAGAACATCCAGAACTCAACCGCGGCCATGCTCATGGCTGCTCACCAGATCTGGTCAAGCCTCACCCACAAGTCAACCTATTACTGGACCGCGCTGTAGCATTCGCAGCCTCTCGACGCTTCATAGGACACACCCTACCCATACTCCAAGAGCACCGAACCACATTTGACAGGGTTCAAAGTAGGAGGCACCAATCTTAGAGAAGTATTTCTTTTTTTACAGATATATATATATATATATATATATATCTGAAAGCACACAAGGCTCAACCGTTAACAACATGTTAGTAATTCTCATAGAAGGGCTTAATGGTCCCTGGGTGAAATACAACAAACTTCACACTCTTTCCTCTAAGGATACTTTTCTGTAGCATTTTCAGTGGTTTTGCATAACAATACAAAATATATTATTTAAGTTCTGCTTTGGGGCAGGGATTGGGGTTCAGAATGGAAACATCCAAACTATGGTGGTGGGGAGTCATAATGGTAGTGGGATTGGTGTTTGAATATTAAATGTAATCAAATGTTTTGAAGTATTTATAAAATAAAAACATTAAAAAAAGAAAATTGTAAAAAAAAAAAATTGTGGCCAATTATTTGGGGGGTGGGAGAAGGAGTGGTTGAGGCCATAGCAGGCAGTGCTCAAGAGCTATTCCTCGCTTTGTGCTCGTAAGTCTTTCCCAGCTGTACTCGGGGGACTATGTAGTGCATAAAACTGAACTGAGATTGAACTGGGGTCAGCTACATAAAAGGAAAGTGCCTTAGCCCTTACTATCTCTGGTTTCAAGATAAACACAACATAGGCTTTTTAAGACAGTGAAATTAGGGGTTGGAACAATAGCACAGCAGATAGGGCATTTGCCTTGTACGTGGCCAACCCTTGTTCGATTCCCAGCATCCCATATGGTTCCCTGAGCACTGCCAGGAGTAATTCCTGAGTGCAGAACTAGGAGTAACCCCTGTGCATCGCCAAGTGTGACCCTCCCCCCCAAAAAAGACAATAAAATTATTATTAGTTCCTGTTAACACCATGCATTTACCTTATTTGTTTTGGGGCCACACATGGTGAATGCTCAAAGGACAATAAAGGATACTGGGGATCAAATCTGAGTTGGCTAGCAAACACCCTACCTACTGTATTATGTCTAGAGCCTCCATTTACCTTATTTGAACAATGTTTGACTTGCTGTGGATCCCAAACAGACACTCCCTGTAAAGAATACTGGCAGTGCTGCTGGCTTCTCCAATTTACAAAGTCAGGATACAGTTCTGAAACAAGAGGAAAAAATAATGATAAAACAGCTACTCAAACTTTGCAGATTACATCTTGAAATACAGCTACTCAAAAGTATTCAGAGTTCTTCTGGTTCTTTCTCAAAGTATATTGGCCTGGGTGATTTCTGTCTTGTTCTCTCACCCCTTCCACCCCCAACCTCTATACACTTTCAACCGTCCAACAATTTTCAGCAAGACTTTCCTCATGTAACCTGATACTTTCATTGGCAGTATTTCAGGTGCCATCGTTTGCATTATGAAAGATTAAGTCACAAGCTCCATAATTCAACCCAGAGGAATTATTCTAGAGGAACTGAGATGCTCCAAAACAAAACAAAAACTTACATAAAACAAATACATGCTGAAATAAACCCAAGAAATACATTCACGTTAAAATAACCCATCTTTATCCCTTATAGGCCAAAAAGAGTATTTCTGATCTACCAGATCCAAACATTACTAAAATGGCCACAACTGGGCTGGAGTAATAGCACAGTGGATAGGGCGTTTGCCTTGTACATGGCTGACCCGGGTTCAATTCCCAGCATCCCATATGGTCCCCTGAGCACGGCCAGGAGTCATTCCTGAGTGCAGAGCCAGGAGTAACCCCAGTGCATCACCAGATGTGACCCAAAAAAGAAAAGAAACAGCCACAACTAAAATATTAATAAATTCCCAATATCAGCAAGCTTAAGCATATCGTTAATGTCCCCACCCACAGTTTATTAAAGTGTTAGCATTCCTGGTACTATAGGGCATTCCCTCCCTCCCCCACCCCTGCCCCAAGGTTCAAATAACCTAAAGACATAGTACTGACATTAATGTTTATGAAAATGTATTTATGTAGTACGGGCTGGAGCTTAGAAAATAGGCCCACGGGTAGGGCGTTTGCTTTGCATGCAGCTGACCCGGCCAACCCGGGTTCAATTCCTCCGCCCCTCTCAGAGAGCCTGGCAAGCTATTGAGAGTATCTCGCCTGCACAGCAAAGCCTGGCAAGCTACCCGTGAAGTATTCGATATGTCAAACACAGTAACAACAAGTCTCACAATGGTGTCAGTAGGCCCGCCCGAGCAAACTGATGAACAATGGGAGGACAGTGACAGTAACAGTGACAGGGTATTCACTGATACTTATCAGCAGGTACTCTGCAGAAAATAAATTTTTACTACCCAGTCAATACTATAAACGGTGAATTTTTGTCTGAATTAGATGAAAAATATCTGATATGCCCTACTAAATATTTCAACAGTGTACCAGTGGTAAAATTTCACATGGTTAATGTTTAGTTCAGGGCAGAGTTTGAAATTTTAATATTCCTCAGTATATTTAATATTCCTCAGCAAATATCACCCTTAACTAAAAAGACTAAATACACGATTACTTTGGAAAACTCTTTTACTTGAGACTAGAAAATATTTTTTTGTTTTGGTTGATTTGGGGCCACATCCAGCAATGCTCAGGGGTCCATATTTCGTGCTGGAGTTCAAACCAGTGTCAATCACACACAAAGTAAACGCCTTAACTTCTGTTCTAGCATGCCAGTCCCTTAAAAATATTTCTTAATGATGGCCAGAAAGACTAGGGGATTAAGGTGCTTGCTTTGCATGCGGCCGACCCTAGATCGATGCCCAGCACTGTACTGTCCCCCTAGCACCACTGAAAAACACCACCTAGCACTACACTGGTATAGCCCCTAACCATCACTTGGTGTTGCCCCACAACTAAAATTTTACGAAGTTTCATTTCTACATCATTTCACGATTTACAGCTGAAGCTATAGCACAGCGGGTAGGGCGCTTGCCTTGCAGGCAGCCGACCCAGGCCGACCCCAGTTTGATTTCTCAGTTTGATTTTGAGCCAGGCAAGATACCGAGAGTATCTCGCCCACACGGCAAAGCCTGGCAAGCTACTGGCAAGCTACCCGTGAGGTATTCGATATGCCAAAAACAGTAACAAGTCTCACAATTTGTTGTGAGACATTACTGGTGCCCACTGGAGCAAATCGATGAATGATGGGAGGACAGTGCTATACAGTGCTATTGAAATGGACCTATTTTCTAAGCTCAAACTACAGTTCTGCCACATTTTCAACTTTCTTCACAAATTCAAAGGAAATAGTCTTATTTCCAAACTCATCTAACCATTCAGTTGCGTTTCCACCTAATCTCCAACTGGAAATGGCTATTCTTCAGTGTGATGGCATGAAAAAGAATCTATAACTGCCTTTCAAGTGAAGAATTGGCTAAAATTAAAATCAACCCCCCCCCACACACACACAAAAAAATGCTAACAGGCTAATATTGGTACTTGGCAGTAACTATCTGTAAGAAAAGATACATTAGTATATCAGCATTATTGGATTAACATCTGTCATCAACTGATAGGTAAGGCTAGCCTCGAAATCCAATTAAATAAAATGTTATATCCCAGATTATTCCATTTTTTCTTACTATATTTCTATTACAAAAATTTGTGTTTAATTATATTTTGAATTTTGCAAATAAAATCTTACTGTCTTAAATTACTCAAGTCCCTAATTAACATCCTCAAATTAAGTCCTGACCGCCTCAAGCGGTCTCTCTACTCTACAGAAATTTTTAGAAAAAGCTCACCACTCCAATTTTGCACCATTTGTATGACAAAGGAACTTTGTATAAATAGCCTAAAAAAGAAAAGCTCTTTAACGGAGCTGGGGTGTGTGGTTCCCCACCATCACCATCACCACCACCACCACCATAGTACAAAGGGTAGAGGCACTTCTCATCTCTGACCCAGGTTTGATCCCAGGCATCCCATATGGTCCCCTGAGCATGGCCAAAAGTGATTCCTGAGTGCAGGAGCCAGGATCATCACTGAACATCAGTGAGTGTGGCCCAAAGGCCAGAAAAAAAAAATTTTTTTAAAGGAGCAATTCTCATAACTTTATTTTTCAAATTTAGAAACTGCCACTTTTTTTTTTTGCTTTTTTGGTCACACCCAGCAATGCTCAGGGGTTACTCCTGGCTCTGCACTCAGGAATTACTCCTGGCGGTGCTGGGGGACCATATGAGATGCTGAGAATCAAACCCGGGTCGGAGGCGTGCAAGGCAAACGCCCTACCCGCTGTGCTATTGCTCTAGCCCCAGAAAGTGCCACTTTTTAATATAAATGCCTAACGACTTACAAATAGACAAACTGAATAGCTATCCCCAAACAGCGGTTTAATAAATAAAACAGGCACATAAACTGAAGTTCGTATGCCTAGGTTTGATTTTCCAGCTCCACCGAGTGGTGAGCTTAGTACCTAACACCTTAATGGCAGTACCATCAGTGGCTCACACTTGAATGTGGCAAAATCAACACAAGTTGCAGCACCTGCATCAACAGAAGTAAATGTGTTAATGAAATCCTATTGTTTCTTAATCTATTAAACCACTTTCCACTTATTACACATCTATGAAAATTGAATAGTTCTTGGGGGACTATGCAGTGATGGAAACACTGAACGCAGGATTCTTACATGCAAATCTAGTGTCCCAGTCCTCTGAGGCATCTTCCCAGCACTGCTCTTTTGTTTTTTGGGTCACACCCAAGACCATATGGGATGCTGTTTCAAACCTGGGTCATCTGCGTGCAAGGCAAGTGCCCTACTTGTACTATCGTCTCTGCCCCCCAGCACTACTTTCTGCTAAAGAATTTATCTTTTGTGCTGGACAGATATCTCAATGAGCTGGATAACATACTTTGCATGCAGGATCCTTGCTTCAATACCTGGCATGACATATGGTCCCATGAGCACTCCATATGTGGAACCAAAACAAACCAAAAAAAAGTATTACACTATCATTTTTGCCACACCCACCTGTGACACAGTTTACTCTAGGCTCGGCACTCAGAGTCGGCCACTTGCAAGGCAAGCACTTTACCCTCAAGTACTCTCACTCTGGCCCCTACTACATTTTATAAGCTACCACCATTTCCTTACATCTTTAAGCCTCTATTACCTTGAAAATTACTAGCTATGCAATATTACTAGACTAAATGGCTTCTGAGGACCACCCCACACTATTCCATTTATTCCTATAACTGACTACATTAGACAGAACTCACTCTTCAATAACAATATCCCAGTTGTTTCATTATGAACACTGAGAGGGAAAAAAAATAATAATCCCAGCCAGTGTAGCAGCAGACCTGCAAACTTTTTTTTTTTTTTTGCTTTTTGGGTCACACCCAGCGATGCTCAGGGGTTACTCCTGGCTCTGCACTCAGGAATTATTCCTGGCGGTGCTTGGGGGACCATATGGGATGGCGGGGATTGAACCCAGGTCGGCCGCGTGCAAGGCAAATGCCCTACCCGCTGTGCTATCACTCCAGCCCGCTGCCAACTTCTCTTAAACTTGGTTTCCAAATGGAGATCCTCTGCCCATACCCCCAATTCCCTGTCTCCAAGGACTCAGCTGTCACACCCTTGAGCCACCCGACTGGCACCAGATAATCTCATCATCGGCCACCATCCAGATCACACGTCCTTCTCCTTCTCTCCCAGAAGGGAGCAACGTGCCACACTTGCCATAACCACACCACCGGATCCTGCCAACAGACTGTTCCACTCGGTGTTCCACAGAGGGGGGTGGGTAAGAGCCCTCCCCACCCCAAGGGACCCAGCCCCATTAGCTGAAAACCTCCAGAACTCAACCACCACCATGCTCATGCATGCCTCACCCACGAGTGAATCTTTCCCTGGACCTCACAGCCGCTACATTTTATAGGACACACCCTAACAGGAGTCCAAGAGTATTGCATCACAAAGTAGGAGACAACCAACCTTAGAGGGAAATGTTATATTATTTCAGTTCTACTTTGGGGGAGGGATTGGGGTTTGGGATGAAAACACCCGAAATATGGTGGTGGGAGTGGTGTCTGAATATTAAATGTAATCAAATATTGTGAACCACTTTATAAAAAAATTTTTTTCAAAGGTTTCCAAAAAATCTACACAGGCTATTAAATA